GGAGACGTAGTCGGCTGGTCCTGATAAGTAGTGAAACTTGAGACTTCTTGGTTGGAATGACAGTATTCTTGGATCACTTAGTCATTACCCACCAACAGTTTCAATACCAAGAGTGAGTGGAGCCACATCCAATAGAAGGATATCCATCAGAACATCAATAATTTGTCAGTCCATAACCCATATCAATATTTTTATGAATCTCCAGATTACAAGCAAATAACAGAAATGATAATTCATACCTTTGGTCTCATCACCACCCTCCTCCACTCAAGATGCCACCTTGAACACAGCACCATAAGCAACTGCCTCATCGGGGTTAACACCCTGTTAGGTTCTTTTCCATCAAATAGTCTTTTAGAAGCTGTTGAACCTTTGGAATTCTAGTGCTGCCACCAACAAGAACAATCTCATCAATCTGCTCTCTGTAATCCACATCTTCCATTGCCTTCTTCACAGTCCCATGGTCTTTCTGAACAATCTTGTTCAACTCCTCAAACCTAGCCCTGGTAATGGCTCAGAAAAATCAACACCATCAAAAGTGATTCAATCTCAACACGAATCTGGTGCTGACTGCTGAGAGCTCTCTTGGCACGTTCACTTTCCCTCCGAGCTGCCAAGAGCCCTGTTGTCCTTGCTGATATCCTTTCCGTGCTTCTTCTTGATCAATTTAATGAGTACTCCATAATTCTCATATCAAAGTCCTCACCTGTAAGAGAATGAACCTCACATGCAATAGATCAAATACATTAACATTAAAAATAAACACTCTAAATAAAAAACTCAGCTCCAGAATTACTTAAAGGGAAGTCCCAGAATGCAAAAAAATCCAATACTAATACAGAACATGAGATATGTCACACCTCCCAAATGAGTGTCTCCATTTGTTGAAAGACCTCAAAAACCCATTGTCGATTGTCAAGATACTGACATCAAATGTCCCACCACCAAGGTCAAAGACAAGGATATTCTCTCCCCGCTTTCTTGTCCAAACCATAGCGATGGCAGCTGCTGTGGTTCTTGATAATTCTTGCAACATTCATCCAGCATAACCCGGCATCCTTTGTACTTGTCTCTGGGCGTCATTGAAGTAGGCTGCAAATTAAAAAGTGATGAGCAAAATTAAAACCATCATTTCAATCAATCAAGTTCTTCTTGCAAAATGCATATTTTAATGTATAAACAAGTACGTTATACTAACCAGGAACTGTAACAACAGAATCTTTTCTTCTTCCCAAGGAATGCTTCTGCTGTTTCCTTCATCTTAGTCAGCACCATAGCACTGATTTCCTCAGGACTGAAGACCTGGTCTCACCATCCTAACCTGGACTTGAATATAAGGCTTTCCATCCTTATTCACATCTTGTAAGGAACAAGTTTCAAGTCCCTCTGACTTCTTTGTCCTCAAACCTGTCAATAAAAATATCCCCAGTTATCACCAATTCCTCAATAATCTAAAAACATAAACCAGCACATCAAAAATGATGCATTACTTTCTTCCAATAAGTCTCTTGACATCGAAGACAGTCCTTTCGGGATTAACAGCTGCCTGATTCTTTGCAGCCTCACCGATCAGCCTCTCACTGTCGGTGAAAGCAACCCTGAAGGGTAAACGGTTTCCTTGGTCATTGGCTATATTCCACATGGCCGTTCTTGTAAACACCAACACAGAATTGTTGTTCCAAGGTCTATTCAATAACTGTTCCCAACTTAGCGCTTCCTCTTTCGCATCGAAAGAGCAAATAGACCACCTGTTAAACACCACGTAAAACATTAATTACTAATACAAAACATGCTTCCAAATAAATTAAACTATTCATTATAAAAACAGCTATCAAGATAATGTTATGATTTTAATAATTGTTTCAATAATAACATACATCATTGCATACATAATTGAAGATAAAATAGATCAAACCATACTGACATTCACGTTAATATAAAACTGGATTACAGAAGTTGCTTTTAACAACTGTGATGTCAACTTTTCATCATTAAACTATTGATTAAGATGTAACTGCTTCCAGATAATCAGATCTAACAAACATCAACTTTAACAAAAATAATAATCATTTCGAGATAGAATGCCAAAATCAATAAAAATTATCAGATCTACCGTCGCTAATCAATCCAAGACGTGTCTATTTCCGAGCTCAATTTCAATCTCAAACCGTTAACCAAAACCAGATCTACTACATTTCTCTATAAACAAACAAGAAGTCAGATCTATTACTATTTTTTTCCAATCCCACTTTTTGCAAAAATGGAAACTAATAACTCACCGACGAAGACAATAGCGAACACAACGAGAGAACCGCGTGCTCTCCAAGAGCCGGCCATCGCGCGTACTTCAAAAGTTAACTCCGCCTAGCTTTCTCGCTCTCTTTCACTCTCTAAAATCAAACAGAGCCTTTCGTTGGCGGGAGGGCTCGATGTAGAGTTTTAAAGGCTTTTGGTTTCACTGGAAATCGCGCGTGGAGGACTGAGCCTTTTATAGAGTCGGGATTACGTGTAAACGGAGTGCCCTTTGTTATTCAATAGAAGTGCTACGAGAGAACCTGTCATCTTTGATGACGTGGACCAATCATTTTTAAGACACACATACTTCGGCCAATGAAATTGGATCTCTGTTGTTGTTTGTTTGGATGATCCTGGCCGTTCGTTCTTCCACAACTTCGCGTGTCCGCTACTTTTTCTACCCGCTCTTTTGGGCCTAACATGGTTATTGCCTTCAACGTCTTCGGCCTGTAGTCTCAAACGGCTTGGCCTTTTAAAAATTGGGTATTTTCTAAGCCTCTACAGTCCTTTTTTTTTTTTTTTTCGTTTAGTTTGATAAATAAGGGTAAATGACCTTAAGCCCTCTTCCTCTCATACCTAGTACTTGTCATATTCTCATATCTGCCTAATGAGACCATTTATAGTTAGGAGTAATGTTCTGAAAACGGACTGGACTAGTCAACAGTGTCATCTCCTGTCCGATTTTTCCAATTTATTGTTCACCCAATCTCTAATCTTATCGCCAGTGAATCAGGGTACCAGTGCTAAGATTAGAGGAATTTGTAGAGTGGAGACTGGTGGTTCAAGAAGTAGTGTCGGATTGAATTTGGACACCGGATAGTCATAATTTGGTCAGAAAAATAAACTGAATACTGAGTCACGCACCACGAATGGGGGGTACCAAGTGCCAAGGTTAAATATGTTTATAGAGTGGAGGTCATGATTTAGGTGGTGGTATTAGATTGAATTTTTTACGTCGAATCATTGGAAAAATCAACTTAATCAAACGATGTTTGTGAGTCACATCGACGAACGGTTACGAGTTATGAGATTAGAGAAGTTTTATAAAATGAGGACAATGGTTAGGAGGTGGCGTGAATTGAATTTTGCCATCGATGCCAAAATTCAAATGGGTTTAATACTGATATCAAGGGGTTTTTGGTTTTAAAAAACCTCGAGAGTTAATATTTATTCGGATTTAATATAAATATTAATACGATATCTTATTGAGTACATTACATTTAAATGGATCTAATTTGGTAGAATGCTAAGTTAAGAATGTCATGCTAGACACAAAGGACCGACCAACATTAAACATTATACTACCAATCAACAAAATTTTTAAAGTCAAGTCAAAGCAAACCTTCATGCTTTTTCTTTCTTACGGTTCATTCAATTATATTTCCACCATATTTATTTGATTGTATCTCCAAAGCTCTAATCAAATTTTAATCAACCAAAATGTACAGAAATTACAGGCTTAGGCACATTAATCCAGTCTACAAAATAAATCACAACTGTAATAATACCGTGATGACAACAATTTTAATCTATTCCCAGCAACCGTTAAAGCGCGTGAACAAGTTTAACCAATGAAATTATCTTCTCAAGAATCGAGACCCGTAGCATGCGGGACCCCACAACTACCTTAAGCACGAAGTTCCATCACGGCCAACGCTCAGAATACTCCGCGTGGCCCATTCTGAAGCCATTGAAAAACAAGATAGTTTTACTATTATTATTATTATTTTTAAATCAAAAGCTCTTGCATCATTGACAGTCTCTCTCTCTGCTTTTCTCGTCACTCTGCTAGGTTTCAGAGACGCCGCTTCTTTTTGTTCCTCTCAAATCGATCGCTCACTCGCTGTTTTCTCGAGTCAACTCATCAACTCGGTGTAAGTACCTTTGATCTCCAGTTCTGATTTTTGCACCTGTTTAGTTATACTTCATTTTTTTGAGATCAAAGTAAGTTTGTGTTGCTTCTTTTTTTTTTTTAGTAAATAGTTGTGTACCGTTTGGTTGCCGAGAAAGAGCTAGGAAATTAGTTTAAGATAGTTGGTTATGTTTTCGGGATCAGAGTGAGCCTGACTTGAGTTTCGACTATAGTTTTAGTTTCTAATGAATTGGGCATGTGCTTTTGGGCGTTGACAATTTGAAATTGATGAAGATAATGAATAGCGGTAACATCGTGATTTATGATTGTTACGACCGCGTCAATGAAATCTTCTAAGTTCAGCTGAAGGTTGGTGAAGTTGACCTTTCACTATCCTACAAGAAGATAAGTGCAAATTCGATATGCGCATTTGATTAATGAGACAGTGGGAAGATGATAGCCGATTGGATTTTTTTATTCATTTACTTGGTATTGAAATATTAAATCTAAACTTACTAACCGAGGTTATAGGATTATCTGGTTTTGTGAAGTTGAGCTTTCTCTTGAAAAGAACAGAAAGTGAAGCTTGGAGTGTTTACTTCACTTAATGGCTGGAGCGTTTCCTTCACTTTCTGGAAACCAATGTAGTAGATTCTAAAAAACTATACATGGTTTTATATTCCTTTCCCTTCTATAGAAGACCAGAGTTGTTTATTGAGGTTTCTGTTTATGTTCCATTCTGTGAACCTAAGCTAGGAGTACATATGATATTTTACATGTATAAGTTATCATTCTAATTTCTAATGTGTTAACTTCAGATTTTAATGGCCGCGGAAGTCACCCAATCCTTTAAATGCACAAGCAGTGGATGGCACTGTCCAAGCAAGCAGAAAAAAACCTAAAACAATATCAGGAGCAAAATCTTCCTGGCTTTTTACTTGCCCTTGCTGGGGAATTGGCTAATGACGAGAAGCCTGTTGAGAGTCGTAAATTAGCAGGTTTGATCCTCAAAAATGCATTGGATGCCAAAGAACAACATCGGAAGTTTGAGCTCGTACAGAGATGGTTTGTTTGGACCCCTCTGCGAAGGCCCAGATTAAATCATTCTTACTAAGACCTCTCCTTCTCCTGCCATGATGCACGGTCAACAGTGTCTCAAGTCATTGCGAAGGTAGCAGGCATTGAGTTGCCCATAGCAATGGCCTGAGCTAGTTGGAGCTCTTTTGTCAAAATTCATCAGCTTCCAGCTCACACCAAGCAGGCCACCCTTGAAACTCTTGGGTATATCTGTGAAGAAGTTTCCTCGATGTGGTGGCAGGATCATGTAAATAAGATACTTACAGCTGTAGTTCAGGGTATGAGCAATTCTGAGAGTAACAATGATGTAAGGCTTGCTGCTACACGAGCACTGTATAATGCTCTTGGTTTTGCTCAGGCAAACTTCTCAAATGACATGGAACGTGACTACATCATGAGAGTTGTCTGCGAGGCTACTCTTTCTCCAAAGTGAAGATTAGACAGGCAGCTTTTGAGTGTTTGGTTGCCATTTCGTCAACCTACTACGAGAAACTGGCTCCGTACATTCAGGATATATTCAACATCACGGCAAAGAGCTGTGAGGAGATGAGGACCAGTAGCTCCTACAGCAATTGAGTTTCTGGAGTTCAATAGTAGTGAGGAAATAGATATATTATAGACAATATGGCTTTTTTTTTTTTTTTTTTTTGGTGTAAATGTAATGATGTTGATTGAGTATAGTTGGTTTAGGAGTTAATCTGATTTTCATTGTGTATTTTCTAGTCTATGAGTTAGTTCTTTCTGCTATGTTTGGAAGTTCGATATGCTTGCATTTTGGGGAAATGAAAATTAACTAGTGTATTTTAATCCATTCAAGTAAATTCTTGAAATATCATTAATCATTGTTTTTAAATTTCATGATGATTGAAGTTGTTTTCTTGCAGATGGGAGTGTTTGAAAGAAATACTGGTAGGTGATTGGACAGATGGAATACTATGCAGCATAGGAATGCCTGTGATTAAAGGATCAGAGCGTTATAATTGTCAAGTTATGTGTTTGAATAGGAAAATTATCATGATCCGCCCCAAATTGTGGCTTGCAAATGATGGAAATTACCGGGAACTTCGATGGTTTACGGCATGGAAGCAAAAAGACCAGCTGGTGGACTTCCAGCTCCCAAATGAAATTTCTGAGGCTTTGTCTCAGAAATCGGTGCCTTTTGGTTATGGGTTCCTTCAGTTTTTAGACACGTAAGCATCAGCTTAATGGTTCTACTTTTTGTTTATGCGGTACTATCTTTTAGATGATGACTTGGATGCCAACTTCTTGTATTTTTTCCTTGTTAGAGCTGTTGCTGTAGAAGTTTGTGAAGAGCTTTTTACTCCTGTTCCCCCTCATGCTGACCTTGCATTGAATGGAGTTGAAGTGTTTATGAACGCCAGTGGAAGTCACCACCAATTAAGAAAGCTTGATTATCGCATTCGTTCTTTTATAAGTGCTACTCAATCTCGTGGAGGGGTTTACATGTACAGTAATCAACAAGGATGCGATGGTGGCCGCCTCTATTTTGGTGCATAACATGCTCTTGATAGGCTAGACATGTTTTTTATCGTTGCTTTTTTTTGTTTTGGCTTATTGAAATAATTTAAAGTGCTCTAATTCTCCATTCATCAACATCTGCGTGTGAATAGCAGTCTATATTTTTTATTAGAGTGCATGTGTAGACGTTTTTTTCCTACTATACTGAGGTACAAATTTACTCTTTGCAGATGGATGTTCTTGTGTTGTTGTAAATGGAGATATGATTGCTCAAGGCTCACAATTTTCATTAAAAGATGTGGAGGTTGTGGTTGCACAAGTAGATCTAGATGCGGTATGCTATGATGTTGCATTACTTCTGTGTTTGCTTTTGTATGATCTTTGTGGCTTTTTATGTCCATTAAGACCAAAAAAGATCAGATATGGTTTTCAGTAATTATTTTACTTGTTTGTTTAATCTCAGGTTGCTAGCCTGAGAGGATCCATAAGTAGTTTTCAGGAGCAAGCAAGTTGCAAAACCAGAATAGCATCTGTGGCGGTGCCGTACAGTCTATGTCAATCTTTTAACCTGAAAATGTCACTTTCGAGTCCACTTCAGGTCAGTTACTGGTTCAGTTAGCATTATAAAAGTCGACATGATTGATTTTGTACTACTATTTTCTGTTTGTGAATAGTTATCTTTATTTGTTAGTGGTGCATGTATTATGGAGCTACTATATTTATGCTTTGAAATATTGAGTAGTTTACCTGCTGGCAGCTGTTAGATTAGAACTTATGCAACCGCCTACAGCTTTTGAATTGGAAATGCTTGCTTTTTGAGTAATAGATTTTGGTTCACATTTTAGGTGCTTTCTATTGGTTTTCTCTCCTTGAAAATTGGGAATTTGGCCTATCTTAATATTTTACTTCCATTTAAATATATGCCTCTTGAAGAAATCTAAATCTGAACTTGATTATAGGTTCTAAATGAACTATCTTCATGTTAATTACTGACAATAATCTATAAAATGTATGCATTTTTTGCCCATCTGCTTATGTGTGAAAAATTTATTGACCTATGGAACTTTCTGGTTAAACATTTGTTTTTGCTACATAAACCATCATTTATTAATTGCAGATTGTGTATCACCCTCCCGAGGAGGAAATAGCCTTTGGGCCTGGTTGTTGGCTGTGGGACTATTTAAGAAGAAGTGGAGCTTCTGGATTCTTGCTTCCCCTTTCTGGTGGAGCTGATAGCTCCTCTGTGGCTGCTATTGTTGGATGCATGTGCCAACTTGTTGTAAAAGGTCTTTTTAACTGTATCTTTTTGTGTGTTTCACTGCCCACACACCATCTTAAGTAGCTAGCAATTTAATTAATTCAGCTATTCTATGAGGATTAGTTGTTTCAGGTGAGTGGACTGAGACAAGTTTCTTTGATCTCTTTCATTTGCTTGCTTAGCTAGTGCAACAGGTTGCATGAATTAAAAATTAAAGGCACACACTCATGACCCTGGATAGTGTTAGAAGAGAATGGTACCCTGAACTACTGAACTAATTCTTATTCACTTAAATGATATACTTGGGTTTCTAGCTGTTTTGGGTTAAAATTTTACCTGATAGCCTTATATTTCTCCATGTCCATGTGTCCGTTCTGGTGTTTCTTGTGGAATCTACCCTGTGAGCTAGCCCAAATTCTATAGTACTGCAGCAACAGAACAAACAACTCTTCCTCATGCCATGAACACAAAACAAGAGTAATGTCTATCATCGTCTGATTGGAGTTCATTTTGGTTTGCTTGCAGAGATTGCAAATGGGGACGAACAAGTCAAAGCTGATGCAATACGAATTGGACATTATACTGATGGACAGTTTCCTACTGACAGCAAGGAATTCGCAAAACGAATTTTTTATACAGTCTATATGGGGTCTGAAAACAGGTGGGTACATGTGTGCAAGATCATTGCTTATCCTTTTTATGCCTATTGTTATAGTATCTGTGCACTAACAGTCAATACTAGTACTGTCTTGTTGAAGGTCATCTCTATCTTATACTATTATAGAGAGCCCAGAGCTCATTTTGTCTTGGCTAAAACATAGAGTTAGTATCCAATGTATGTTAGAAATATCACGTCCCCTATTATTAAGTTTCAAAGTAAACATGGAAACTGTCTTATGTAAATTATCTCACATGCAAGGACATAATCAAATAAGTTGATTGGATTTAACATTATCTTATGTCTTAAGATTACTAATTAGTTTTACGTATAAATTTTTCCATAAAAGTGGTATATTAACAGGGTTTATTTCTTGCAGTTCTGAAGAAACAAGGATGCGTGCAAAGAAGCTAGCGGATGAGATTGGCTCATGGCACCTTGATGTTTGCATAGACAGTGTTGTTTCTGCTCTTCTATCTTTATTTCAAACACTTACTGGAAAGCGGCTACGTTATAAGGTAAATAGTAGTTGGAAACTCAACTTCCTTTTTGAGAACAAAAGTTTTCCTTTAAGAATCATCAATAACTGGCGACTTGTGATCCTGCTGTACATGGTCAACTGAGATTGATAACAGTCATGGTTATCATTGTCTGCTTTAAAATGATGGTTAATCTGGTTTTCTTTTCATAGGTAGATGGGGGATCTAACATTGAGAACCTGGGATTGCAAAACATTCAAGCTCGAATCAGAATGGTGCTGGCATTTATGTTAGCATCACTGTTGCCTTGGGTTCATAATAAACCAGGGTTTTATCTGGTATTGGGTAGTTCCAATGTGGATGAAGGCTTACGTGGTTATCTGACAAAGGTATATGATTTAAGCATTTTTAAGAAGCTACATGTTGCCCGATTGTTATAATTCCGCCTTCCCAAAAGCGAGAAACTTTTCTTGATTACAGAACTTCATTACTTTATTAATCACGACTTTGTGAAGCGGGTTTAATTAGTTCTTGTTCTGTGTTTTGGTATGCTATTTGTTTCATTGTGCTGTTTGCATTATTAACTTCTGGTTCAGCTGGTAAAATGTGTGTTAATCTAATTAAGCTTTGGGGGTTGCTGTTCTTTTTATTGGAATATTGTGGTTAATAGTTCATCTGTATTAATGATTTTCTTATGGGAACTTACTTTTTATTTCTGTTCCAGTATGATTGCAGCTCAGCAGATATAAATCCCATTGGAAGCATTAGTAAACAGGATTTGCGACAATTTCTACGATGGGCTGCGGCCCATCTCGGTTACTCTTCCTTAGCAGAAATTGAAGCAGCTCCACCTACCGCTGAATTAGAGCCCATACGTTCAAACTACAGCCAGGTATTATGTCATGAAAACTTTTGTCATTTCTTCTTTTTGTTCTTTAGGGACATGTTATTCTGATCTCTCTCTTGGAAAAAACTTATATCAGTATTGAGTTACATAAGGTTATTTGTCATCAAGAAGATCAAAAGAAAATTTATACTCTGGTCGTTAGTCGCATCCTTGTGGCAAGTTTGTCACTTTTCATATACGCTATTATTTAATAGTTTATATCTCAACATCTTGAATCGCACACGCCTTCATTTTGATCTTGTGTCTCTCTCTTTCAGTTCCTGGAGGGTATTATAGTTTAGTTTTCCTATTTTATTAGTTTCCTTGAATTTTTGCAAATAAATAATATTCATATCTAGAATTGGTGTGTAACATCACATTCTGCATGAAACAGCTGGATGAAGTAGACATGGGAATGACATATGAGGAACTCTCAGTGTATGGAAGGTTACGGAAAATTTTCCGATGTGGTCCAGTATCAATGTTCAAGGTTCGACTTTGAACTTAAATATGTTCATGATGCGCACAGTTTTTGCTTGTTAGTAAACTGATTCTTATGGTACTATGCTTGTTTCAGAATCTCTGCTACAGATGGGGTGCAAGATTAACCCCATCAGAGGTGGCTGATAAAGTCAAATACTTCTTCAAGTACTATTCCATTAATCGACACAAAATGACTGTATTAACTCCTTCGTATCACGCCGAGGTATATAACTGAAACTTGCTAATATCGTATTAAAATGTTTTTCCGACCAAATTTTTTATGTAAAGCAAAACTTAACCGATCTTATTCCATGCAGAGTTATTCACCAGAGGATAACAGGTTTGATCTGCGACAATTTCTCTACAATGCGAGATGGCCATACCAATTTCGCAAGATTGATCAGCTTGTTAAGGAGTTGGATGGTGAGAAAATTCCTTTTAAAGAAGCTAGTGAACAGGAGCTGATGGTTGCGGCATCAGCTGTTGGTGGGATGGGAGTTGTGGCAGCAGGTTCAGGCAACCCAAAAGCTGGTCACTAGTTCAAATAGAGCTTCATTTATGTTTGATTAAATGCAGACAAATGTCTCTAATTGATTTTTTTGTTAAGTTATAAAATATGTAATAGTAGAATAAAAGGTTCATTGATATATTTCAATGAATAAAGCATCCACGTAAAACAGGAGCATTTCGGCTTCTTCTTTTAGTTAAAATGTATATTGATTGTTTATTCCATCCAAGTGAAAATCTTCACTCCATCTGCTATAATGTAAAGTACTCTTTGGACTCCTTTTTAAGTTTAATATTAGGAAGGGTAACAAGTCCATTGCACGTTCTCTAATCCAACACAATAAAGAGCTGTGCTAAATGAAGATTCAATGGATCTTGAATAAATTTTTAGAGTTTTAGTTTTCATGTTCTACGTCATAAAATTTAAATGAGTTAGTCGTATAACATTTTCTAAAGGGTGCATTTATTTCACGGAATTCTTTATCACTTTATCACTCAAAAGATATGATTACCACTAAGGTAAATTACCCTAAAGATTAATGGGGGAATATTACTTTGGTTAAATTGGTGAGTATAAATAATTGATATATTTAGTTGGGAGGAATAAAATATTGTCGACGGATTTTTACTTAATTGCCCTTCTTTGTTAATACTATTATTATTAAGAACATTTTTTTAACCCCTTACATTTGAGAATTTAGCTAAAACACTCCAACAGCAAAAGTTTAAAATTTAACAAAATACACCCAACCACACAAGATGATTGTCGGCCGCCAGCCATCACGACCGCTCACCACTGACAGCTACCGGAACGATGCACAACTGATCAGATGTGGCTTATAGTACGCTGATCTGGCCATTTCCGGCTAGATCTGTGGCCATTAACGGTCGTGGATCTGGCTGAAAGCGGCCAGATCTATTTTGGCCATTAACAGTCAAATCTATGGCTGTTACAGCCATGGATCTAGCTGGTAATGGTTATAATAGATATGGTCGTTTCTGGCCAGATCCACAACCATTGGGTCATTTTCGACCTTTGATTTGGTCAGAAACTGCTAGATTAGCGCACGATCGGTCAGTCGTGCGTCGTTTTGATGACTGCCAACGGTGGTGGCCAACGGGTGGTAGTTGTCTTGGGTGATTAGGGTTATTTTGGGTATTATCCATATAAATGGTGAGGGTATTTCTTTCTTAAAAAATAATATATGAGGTTAAAGAAGTCATTTTGCACATTTGGGCTAATTGTTATTTAGTAGACATATGAGGTCATTTGTGTCCAAAATATTTATTAATTTAAGGGTAAAATTAGTATGAACAATTGATTACTCGGGTAATAGAAAAATAACATCTCTCCCTATGGTAATCCAATTACTCTCATAACCACTATTTGCAATACAAGTTCACCATAATATTTTATTCCTTGACACCCAAACGTAGTAATTTGTGGAAGAAAAAGAAAGATAGATCACTAGTGTTATCTTCCATGCACCCGAAACAAACGAACCCAAAGGGTTAAAAACTTAGACCCTTAAGTTATGATTATATAACAAAAATCCTTTTGGTGTTTTTGAAATAATAAAAAATCTCTTGTTAAGAAACTATAAATGTACCATTAAAATTTACACGGTTAAAAGTTCGTTAATATTATTAAATTACCCTCCTACGGTTTATTTTAACACCTAATAACTTAGGGGATTAATGTATTCTGTTTTGTTGTTTATCGATGTCGTACTGATCCTATATTAATTTGATATAGATAAAATCTCCAAATTTTGCTTGAAGCTTTCAAGGCTTTTTGTGAAAAAACAACCAAAAGAAGAGGGGAAAACCATCAAAACATAACATGGCTCACTGTATTAAGTGTGGCAAAAAATTCAAAGATTAATGGGTTCATTTATCATGATGAAACTATACATCCTACCCTTCGGTTTCACATGAAAAGATTGCAAAAATTGTGTTCCCACCACAGCCGACCTTTGGAAATGTAGACCAAAGTTTTGTTAGACCGGTCGTCATGACTAGGGGTGAAATCGAGTCAAGTCGAGTCAAATATTTGTTTAATCGAACCTGACTCAAGCACTGCAGTACCAAATTCGAGTTCGAGTTCGAGTTCTAGTCTGAGAAATTAAGTTCAAACTCGAGCTAGATTTTGAGTAAATTTTATGGGGAATAGGCTTAAAGGATGGTTGAGATTGTATTTGATGTGTCGCTGCCACCAACTAGTTGATCACCGATTTGTATTTGGGGTATGCTTGCTAAATTTCAAACCTATAGGTACTTAATAATTTTTAGAGGTGTATTTGCTGAATGTTAAATTTTTAGACACCCAGCAACTTTGTCGAGTTTTACCCTGGGTTGGTTATTAATATATTGCCTTACAACTTTTTCTCACAACTTGGCATAGCATCCAACGCAGCAGATTTGATTGAGGGTTATGCTAAAATTTGTAATTTTGGGTTTTGCAATTTTTTTTTTAATTTTTAAGGGAATTAACGTGGCTTTATGTAGTAGTAATGAAAAAATGTTTTGAATAAATTATTTTTAGTATTTTTTAGAGGGATTTTTGATAATAGTAGGAAGTATATACTTTTATAGTAGTAGGAAAAAATATAGATTTTTAATTTTAATTATATAATACCATAATTTAAAGCCAATATTATCACAAAATTTGTTAATTAATTATGGAGATTATATTAATTTTTAGAAGTTTTTTATTATTTTATTAATTATTTAAAAAAAATATATCCTTTAATACAATACATAATTTAAAAAATTAAATATTCCATACACAATTTAACATGTTTCCTAAAACAAGAAGTTCAGTTTCCTTTCTAACCTACGGATTTTGTAAGCTTTAGAAATGAAAAAGCTATTATGAAAACACTATCTGTCCAGGGCACTTCTCTTATAATTCTATTTCTTTTGTCCAACAATAGACAAAATTTGAATTAGAAATGAGGCGTAGAACAAAAGTTTAACTGATATTAAAACAAATACCAATAGTAAAAACAATAAAATAGGATATTTTAAAAGTATTCTTCACATCCAAAAAACAAGCGAAGGGGAAGTTCCTCTCCCTTGACTTCTGAAAAATTACAGTAAGTTTCCTCTCACATTACCCTAACACTATTTTCTCAAATTTTGCCCCCTATATTCCTGGCAGTAGTGGTCAATCAAACTAAAAGATTCTCACAGTTCATCATGTGAATCGTCCTCCTCTGATGATGCCCCACCACCTGGAGCTCCACCGCTTCTTTGATATACGGCAGTAATGATTGGGTTGCAAACAGCTTCAACCTCCTTAAGCTTCTCCTCATAGTCCTCCTTCTCGGCACTCTGGTTGTCATCGAGCCATTCAAGAGCCTCCTTTGTGGCTGTCTCGATCTTTTCCTTCTCATCGGACTCGAGCTTGTCAGCAAGCTTGTCCTTGTCGTTAATCTGGTTTTTCATGTTATAGACGTAGGTCTCAAGGCTGTTACGGGCATCAATCTTCTCCTTCACCTTCTTGTCTTCCTCAGCAAACTCTTCTGCTTCACGAACCATCCGTTCAATCTCCTCTTGGCTGAGGCGTCCCTTGTCATTTGTGATGGTGATCTTCTCTGATTTTCCAGTGCCCTTATCTTCGGCCTTGACATTTAGGATACCATTGGCATCAACTTCGAATGTGACTTCAATTTGAGGGGTTCCCCTGTTCAATCAAAGAATACAATGCCATTAGCTCCGAGCCAAAAACAATTATAAACCTAAACACAGATAGGTACAAACCTAGGAGCTGGAGCAATTCCGTTAAGATCGAATTTCCCAAGCAACCTACAATCCTTTGTGAGACTCCTTTCACCCTCAAAGACCTGATATCAGAACAAACATCAGTGACTCAAATAAATTTACTATCACCGCAAATGAAACCTAAGCAAATCATTAACTCTCTACTTGAAGGGATAAAAACACAGAAGACAAATACCTGAATGGAGACAGTAGTCTGCTGGTCCTGATAAGTAGTGAAGACTTGAGATTTCTTGGTTGGAATTACAGTATTTCTGGGGATCAACTTAGTCATCACCCCACCAACAGTTTCAATACCAAGAGTGAGTGGAGCCACATCCAACAGAAGGATGTCTGCAATCAGAACATCAATAAATTTGTCAGTCCATAACCCATATCAATATTTTTATGAATATCATCCAGATTACAAGCAAATAAACAGAAAAATGAGAATTCATACCTTTGGTCTCATCACCACCCTCTCCACTCAAGATGCCACCTTGAACAGCAGCACCATAAGCAACTGCCTCATCGGGGTTGACACCCTTGTTAGGTTCTTTTCCATCAAAGTAGTCTTTTAAAAGCTGTTGAACCTTTGGAATTCTAGTGCTGCCACCAACAAGAACAATCTCATCAATCTGGCTCTTCTGTAATCCAGCATCTTCCATTGCCTTCTTCACAGGTCCCATGGTCTTTCTGAACAAATCATTGTTCAACTCCTCAAACCTAGCCCTGGTAAGTGGCTCAGAAAAATCAACACCATCAAAAAGTGATTCAATCTCAACACGAATCTGGTGCTGACTGCTGAGAGCTCTCTTGGCACGTTCACTTTCCCTCCGGAGCTTGCCAAGAGCCCTGTTGTCCTTGCTGATATCCTTTCCGTGCTTCTTCTTGATCAATTTAATGAAGTACTCCATAATTCTCATATCAAAGTCCTCACCTGTAAGAGAATGAACCATCAGCATGCAATAATAAGATCAACTAACATTTATACATGAAAACACTCTAAAATAAAAAAAACTCAGCTCCAGAATTACTTAAAGGGAAGTCCCAGAAGTGCAAAAAAAATCCAAATACTAATACAGAACATGAGATATGTACACACCTCCCAAATGAGTGTCTCCATTTGTTGAAAGAACCTCAAAAACACCATTGTCGATTGTCAAGATACTGACATCAAATGTCCCACCACCAAGGTCAAAGACAAGGATATTCTTCTCACCACCTTTCTTGTCCAAACCATATGCGATGGCAGCTGCTGTTGGTTCATTGATAATTCTTGCAACATTCAATCCAGCAATAACACCGGCATCCTTTGTAGCTTGTCTCTGGGCGTCATTGAAGTAGGCTGCAAATTAAAAAGTGATGAGCAAAATTATAAACCATCATTTCAATCAATCAAGTTCTTCTTGCAAAATGCATATTTTAATGTATAAACAAGTACGTTATACTAACCAGGAACTGTAACAACAGCATCCTTTATCTTCTTCCCAAGGAATGCTTCTGCTGTTTCCTTCATCTTAGTCAGCACCATAGCACTGATTTCCTCAGGACTGAAGACCTTGGTCTCACCATCCTTAACCTGGACTTGAATATAAGGCTTTCCATCCTTATTCACAATCTTGTAAGGAACAAGTTTCAAGTCCCTCTGGACTTCTTTGTCCTCAAACCTGTCAATAATAAATATCCCCAGTTATCACCAATTCCTCAATAATCAATAAAAACATAAACCAGCACAATCAAAATGATGCATTACTTTCTTCCAATAAGTCTCTTGACATCGAAGACAGTCCTTTCGGGATTAACAGCTGCCTGATTCTTTGCAGCCTCACCAATCAGCCTCTCACTGTCGGTGAAAGCAACCCATGAAGGGGTAATACGGTTTCCTTGGTCATTGGCTATAATTTCCACATGGCCGTTCTTGTAAACACCAACACAAGAATATGTTGTTCCAAGGTCTATTCCAATAACTGTTCCCAACTTAGCAGCTTCCTCTTTCGCAATCGAAAGAGCAAATAGACCACCTGTTAAACACCACGTAAAACATTAATACTAATACTAATAAACATGCTTCCAAATATATTAAAACTATTCAATTATAAAACAAGCTATCAAGATAATGTTATGATTTTAATAATTGTTTCAATAATAACATACATCATTGCATAAATAATTGAAGATAAAATAAATCAAGAAACCATTACTGACATTCACGTTAATATAAAAACTGGATTACAGAAAGTTGCTTTTAAACAACTGTGATGTCAACTTTTCATCATTAAACTATAATGATTAAGATATGTAACTGCTTCTCAGATAATCAGATCTAACGAAACATCAACGTTAACAAAAATAATAATCATTTCGAGATAGAATGCATCAAAATCAATAAAAATTATCAGATCTAAACCGTCGCTAAATCAATCCAAGACGTGTCTATTTCCGAGCTCAATTTCAATCTCAAACCGTTAACCAAAAACCAGATCTACTACATTTCTCTATAACAAAAACAAGAAGTCAGATCTAATTACTATTTTTTCCAATCCAACTTTTTGCAAAAATGGAAACTAATAACTCACCGAAGAAGACAATAGCGAACACAACGAGAGAACCGCGTGCTCTCCAAGAGCCGGCCATCGCGCGTACTTCAAAAGTTAAACTCCGCCTAGCTTTCTCGCTCTCTTTCACTCTCTAAAATCTAAACAGAGCCTTTCTTTGTCTGGGAGGGCTTCGATGTTAGAGTTTTAAAGGCTTTTGGTTTCACTGGAATATCGCGCGTGGAGGACTGAGCCTTTTATAGAGTCGGGATTTACGTGTAAACGGAGTGCCCTTTGTTAATTCAATAGAAGTGCTACGAGAGAACATGTCATCTTTGATGACGTGGACCAATCATTTTTAAGAGACACATACGTCGGGCCAATGAAATTGGATCTCTTGTTGTTGTTGTTGTTGGGATGATCCTGGCCGTTCGTTCTTCCACAACTTCGCGTGTCCGCTTACTTTTTCTACCCGCTCTTTTGGGCCTAACATGAGTTATTGACTTCAACTTCTTAGGCCCGTAGTCTAAACGGCTTGGCCTTTTAAAAATTGGGTATTTTCTAAGCCTCTACAGTCCTTTTTTTTTTCCGTTTAAGTTTGATAAAATAAGGGTAAATGACCTTAAAGCCTCATCCTCCATACCTAGTACCTCGTCCAATTCCATTGTTTTAAAAACCAGACCGAAGGGCAACCCGCTTTGACGGCCGGGTCACGGTTCAACCGGTCCAACCGGTTGAACCGTCAATTGGACCGGTGATGTTCACACAATCATGATATATCATTAAACAGCAAGGCTATCCTAGTATCTGCAAGTTTTTCTTTCCTTGTTGTATATTATATTTCTTTCTTCAAAAATATTTTAAGAAGTAAATCCTACCTAAAATATAGGACTGATATGTATAGTAGTATATAATTCCATTTTTTTCCTCTCATTCATTTAGTATATAACTATATATATAAATTATAATACAGTACAACATTATAAATATATAGCTAACTTAAAAAGGTTATAAGATTGTTAAGTTATAATCGAACAAATGAAACGTTGATAGGTTTCAGGACTTTCAATCTAAAAAAATTACGCCATCTGTCTGAAACTTGAAAAAACTGTACTAAACATGCACTAAGCAATGGAAAGTGGTGGGGTGTCATGTAACCAGCTGCTTTGCTATCTTAAGAAAGAGATCAACTCCTAACAATTAATTGTTCATAAAGGATCTATTTCCTATTCGGCACATGTCATCTTCAACCCAACTAATCACCATTTAGACAATCAATTAATTAGTAAAAATAATCAGAAATTTTGCGATTACAGTCAAAACTCAAAAGTTCCATATCCAGCCACAGGCAACTACACAAAATACTACGATTACAGTCAAAAGTTCCATATCCAGCCCTAGCCAGGCCTCACATAATACTACAATTACAGTCAAAAGTTTTATGAAGACAAATGTCTAAAGCCATGCCGCATTGATTATTGCTCCAGATTAAGTTTGCATCATTATAAAAAGGTTTTACTGCATTTACCAAATGCTTCCAAAAACTACAAGCTATGAATCACGAAATTATCCCTACACAGACAAACCAAGAACCACTCACAACAATGGCCTACTCTTTCATCTCCTTCCCCATTTCTGTGATTCTGTCCTCTTCTAAAACCCTCTCAAAAAAGTCAACTATGTGATCGAAGAATGGCTACCTGGATCGAGGAACGGAGCTGTCGTCAACGATGGAGCTGTCGTCAACTATTTCCAGCGAGGAACGGAGCTGTCGTCGTCGATTCTGGCAAGGGAGGAAGACGTCGTCGATTTCCAGCGAGGGAGGAAGACGTCGTCGTCGATTTCAGAGAGCTCAGATGCGATTTGGGTGGGATTTCAGAGATAAATTTTCGCAGAGAACAGACAACACACATAGACGAAGCTGATAAATTTTTCGCAAAGAATAGAGAACTGAGAAAATTTCGTAAGAAGCTGAGAAAATTTCGTAAGAAACTAAGAAAATTTTCATAAGAAACTTGAGAAAATTTTCGTAAAAAGCTGAGAATGAGTGAAAGAGAAGAACTGAACGTGATGAAAAGGGTTTTCGCGTATTAGGGATTTTCAGATTTGGATCGGTTTATCCGCCGATTTGGTGCAAAAATCCGGTTTTCAAACGGTTTAAAACGGTCTATTATATTATAACAGTTTTAATATTGAACCGAACCGGACATATGGCCAGTTCACGGTCCAACCGATTGGACCGGTCGGTCCGGTCCGGTTTTTAAAACAATACATAATTCTCATGAATCATGCCTAATGGAGACCTATTTATAGTTAGGAGCAATGTTCTGAAAACCGGACTGGACTCGTCAACCAGTGTCATCTCCTGTCCGATTTTCCAATTTTATTGTTCACCCTAATCTCTAATCTTACTGCCAGTGAACCATGGGTTATCAAGTGCTAAGGTTAGAGGAGTTTTGTATAGTGGAGACTGGTGGTTCAAGAAGTGGTGTCGGATTGAATGTTGGACACCAGAATTAGTCGGAATTTGGTCAGAAAAATAAATCGAATACTTGAGTCACGACCAGCGAATGGGGGGATACCAAGTGCCGAGGTTAGATAGGTTTTGTAAAGTGGAGGTCAATGATTTAGGTGGTGGTATTAGATTGAATTTTTTACGTTAGAATCAGTTGGAAAAATCAACCTAATCATAGGGATGTTTGTGAGTCACGTCCGACGAACAGGCTACTGAGTTATGAGATTAGAGAAGTTTTATAAAATAGAGGACGATAGTTTAGGAGGTGGCATCGAATTGAATTTTGACCGTTAGAATCAGTTAGCCAAAATTCAAATGGGTTTAATACTAATATCACAAGGGGTTTTTTTGGTTTTAAGAAACCTCGAGAGTTTAATATTTATGATGAAGTACATTTACATTTAAATGGATCTAATTTGGTAGAATGCTAAGTTAAGAATGTCAATGACACAAAGGACCGACCAAACATTAAACGTTATACTACCAAGTCAACAAAATTTTTAAAGTCAAGTCAAAGCAAACCTTCATGCTTTTTCTTTCTTACGGTTCATTCAATTATATTTCCAACCATATTTAATTTGATTTGTATCTGCCAAAGCTCTAATCAAATTTTAATCAACCAACAATGTACAGTAATTACAGGCTTTAGGCACATTAATCCAGTCTACAAAATAAATCACAACTGTAATAATAACCGTGATGGCAACAATTTTAATCTATTCCCAGCAACCGTTAAAGCGCGTGAACAAGTTTAACCAATGAAATTATCTTCTTCAAGAATCGAGACCCGTAGCATGCGGGACCCCCACAACTACTCTTAAGCACGAAGTTCCATCACGCGCCAACGCTCAGAATACTCCGCGTGGCCCATTCTGAAGGCCAATTAGAAAAACAAGATAGTTTTACTAATATTATTATTATTTTTAAATCAAAAGCTCTTGCATTTCATTGACAGTCTCTCTCTCTGCTTTTCTCGTCACTCTGCTAGGGTTTCAGAGACGCCGCTTCTTTTTGTTCCTCTCAAATCGATCGCTCACTCGCTGTGTTTCTCAGAGTCAACTCACCAACTCGGTGTAAGTACCTTTGATCTCCAAGTTCTGATTTTTGCACCTGTTTAGTTATACTTCATTTTTTTGAGATCAAAGTAAGTTTGTGTTGCTTCTTTTTTTTTTTTTTTAGTAAATTAGTTGTGTACCGTTTGGTTGCCGAGAAAGAGCTAGGAAATTAGTTTCAAGATAAGTTGGTTATGTTTTCGGGATCAGAGTGAGCCTGACTTGAGTTTCGACTATAGTTTTAGTTTCTAATGAATTGGGCATGTGCTTTTGGGCGTTGACAATTTGAAATTGAATGAAGATGAATGAATAGCGGTAACATCGTGATTTATGATTGTTACGACCGCGTCAATGAAATCTGTCTAAGTTCAGCTGAAGGTTGGTGAAGTTGACCTTTCACTATCCGTACAAGAAGATAAGTGCAAATTCGATATGCGCATTTGATTAATGAGACAGTGGGAAGATGATAGCCGATTGGATTTTTTTAGTTTCATTTACTTGGTATTGAAATATTAAATCTAAACTTACTAACCGAGGTTAATAGGATTATCTGGTTTTGTGAAGTTGAGCTTTCTCTATTTGAAAAGAACAGAAAGTGAAGCTTGGAGTGTTTACTTCACTTAATGGCTTGGAGCGTTTCCTTCACTTTCTGGAAACCAATGTAGTATGATTCTATAAAACTATACATGGTTTTATATTCCTTTCCCCTCTATAGAAGACCAGAGTTGTTTATTGAGGTTCTTAGTTTATGTTCCATTCTGTGAACCTAATGCTAGGAGTACATATGATATTTTACATGTGATAATTTTTCATTCTAATTGATCTAATGTGTTAACTTCAGATTTTAATGGCCGCGGAAGTCACCCAAATCCTTTTAAATGCACAAGCAGTGGATGGCACTGTCCGGAAGCAAGCAGAAGAAAACCTAAAACAATATCAGGAGCAAAATCTTCCTGGCTTTTTACTTGCCCTTGCTGGGGAATTGGCTAATGACGAGAAGCCTGTTGAGAGTCGTAAATTAGCAGGTTTGATCCTCAAAAATGCATTGGATGCCAAAGAACAACATCGGAAGTTTGAGCTCGTACAACGATGGTTGTCGTTGGACCCCTCTGCGAAAGCCCAGATTAAATCATTCTTACTAAAGACTCTCTCTTCTCCTGCACATGATGCACGGTCAACAGTGTCTCAAGTCATTGCGAAGGTAGCAGGCATTGAGTTGCCCCATAAGCAATGGCCTGAGCTAGTTGGAGCTCTTTTGTCAAATATTCATCAGCTTCCAGCTCACACCAAGCAGGCCACCCTTGAAACTCTTGGGTATATCTGTGAAGAAGTTTCCTCAGATGTGGTGGATCAGGATCATGTAAATAAGATACTTACAGCTGTAGTTCAGGGTATGAGCAATTCTGAGAGTAACAATGATGTAAGGCTTGCTGCTACACGAGCACTGTATAATGCTCTTGGTTTTGCTCAGGCAAACTTCTCAAATGACATGGAACGTGACTACATCATGAGAGTTGTCTGCGAGGCTACTCTTTCTCCAGAAGTGAAGATTAGACAGGCAGCTTTTGAGTGTTTGGTTGCCATTTCGTCAACCTACTACGAGAAACTGGCTCCGTACATTCAGGATATATTCAACATCACGGCAAAGGCTGTGAGGGAAGATGAGGAGCCAGTAGCTCTACAAGCAATTGAGTTCTGGAGTTCAATATGTGATGAGGAAATAGATATATTAGAAGAATATGGAGGTGATTTCAGTGGGGATTCTGATGTTCCTTGCTTTTACTTTATTAAGCAAGCTCTCCCTGTTCTAGTTCCCATGTTATTGGAGATGCTACTTAAGCAGGAAGAGGATCAGGATCAGGACGAAGGGGCATGGAATATTGCAATGGCTGGAGGCACATGCTTGGGTTTGGTTGCTCGAACAGTTGGAGATGATGTTGTCCCGCTTGTTATGCCATTTGTTGAAGAAAACATAACAAAACCAGATTGGAGGCAGAGAGAGGCTGCAACCTATGCATTTGGTTCCATTCTGGAAGGTCCATCTCCTGAGAAACTTATACCTCTTGTTAACATCGCTCTGAACTTCATGCTTACTGCCCTTGTGAAAGATCCAAATAACCATGTGAAAGACACTACCGCATGGACTCTTGGAAGAATGTTTGAATTTCTGCATGGGTCAACTTTGGAAACACCTATAATTACGCAAGCTAATTGCCAACAGATCATTAATGTTCTGCTTCAGAGCATGAAAGATGTTCCAAATGTTGCCGAGAAAGCCTGTGGTGCTCTTTATTTCCTGGCCCAAGGTTATGAGGATGCAGGATCATCATCTTCTCCTCTAACTCCCTTTTTCCAGGAAATTGTTCAGGCTCTTCTTACTGCGACTCACCGGGAAGATGCTGGAGAATCACGCCTCCGAACAGCAGCTTATGAAACTTTGAACGAAGTTGTAAGGTGTTCTACTGACGAAACAGCACCAATGGTGATGCAACTAGTTCCAGTTATTATGATGGAGCTCCACCAAACTCTCGAGGGACAAAAACTCTCATCTGATGAGAGGGAGAAGCAAAATGAAATACAAGGCCTTCTTTGCGGTTGTTTGCAGGTCATCATACAGAAGCTAGGTTCATCTGAGCAAACAAAGTATGTCTTCATGCAGTACGCAGACCAGATGATGGGCCTCTTCTTAAGAGTATTTGCTGTTCGAAGTGCCACGGCTCATGAGGAGGCTATGCTTGTCATTGGTGCTCTTGCTTATGTAACAGGTGCAGATTTTGCAAAATACATGCCAGAGTTTTACAAGTTTTTGGAAATGGGTCTCCAAAATTTCGAGGATTACCAGGTTTGTGCCATCACAGTAGGGGTGGTGGGGGATATATGCAGGGCTCTGGAGGAAAAGATATTGCCTTATTGTGATGGGATTATGACCCAACTCCTCAAGGATTTGTCAAGCAATCAGTTGCACAGATCTGTGAAGCCTCCAATTTTTTCATGCTTTGGCGACATTGCTTTGGCAATTGGTGAAAGGTTTGAGAAGTACTTGATGTATGCTATGCCCATGCTTCAAAGTGCAGCTGAGCTATCAGTCCATACATCAGGTGTTGATGAAGATATGATGGAGTATACCAATTCTTTGAGAAATGGAATCTTGGAGGCATACTCGGGTATCTTTCAAGGTTTCAAGGGTTCTCCGAAGACCCAACTATTGATGCCCTATGCACCTCATATTCTTCAGTTCTTAGATAGTTTGTACATGGAGAAGGACATGTAAGCACTACTGGGATCCAGACTCTTTTCATTTATTTTCTGAATTTTATATTTATATTGATAGTGCCTTACTGTTTGTTTTTCTTTAGGGATGAGGTGGTGACTAAGACAGCAATCGGGGTTCTTGGAGATCTAGCAGATACCCTGGGTAGTAATGCAGGTCCCTTGATTCAGCAATCTGTGTCAAGCAAAGAATTTCTAAATGAATGTTTATCAGCAGAAGATCATATGATTAAGGAATCTGCTGAATGGGCCAAGTTGGCCATCAGTAAAGCAATTTCTTTTTGAGGCAAACTGCTACCGCATATGTTCTAGTACTTGCATGCATTTGGGTGTGTCGAGTTGGGTCTTGGATTTGCATACCCTGAGTCAGGTCATCACCATTTTTGGGCACGAGTGTCTCGGTTGTTTGGCTGTCAGTATTTCACATCGGCAGGATGGAGTCTTTCCCTTTCAATTTTTTCATTTTATTGTTTTCCTTTTCCATGGAAGCAGTTGGCAGTGATGACTTCATATCTATCTGCTAACGTGCATGAAATAGTTGGACGTTTACATATGGGAAGAAATGGAACAACTAGAGTTGGGAGGATTGAGATAGGATAGATCACCATCACACCCTGCCGGTGTTGTCTACAATGGGTCGCCAATAGCAACAATTTATGAAGTGAATGGTGCTGAAGTTTTGGTTTAGGAATTGGGGCACTTTTAGCAGCAGTGGTAAAAACCACATTCCCCCACCGCCCTTTCTTTTTCTTTGTTTCTTTTCTTTTCTCCAAAATTCGGAGTCTTAAAAAGTACTGCATTGTTACATGTCAACAATTGTCACAGTTCTTCTCTTGCCATATGTACTCATTCTGTATACTTTGTGATCGGTGAGAATCACATAATGTTAGGGTGTTCAAATCATGCATTTATCATATTTAATCATTATTATATTTAACATAGACGTTCATTCCGTCTCCTCCTTTCTTCCAGTGATTCTTCTTTTTAAGTTTTCTTTTGGTCTCATATCTGGGCAGCAAGTACAGTTTTTTTTAGTTAATCTAGTGTCTTATACCACACTTGGAGCAATCTTTTACATTAATTCATTACTTCTTTAATTCTAATTAAATGTTAAATTATCCTGCTATGCTCCCAATATTTTTCATATGAGCAATTTGATGATTGACACAAAAATTGGAAACCGTCATTGAGAGATAGCGAGAGCGACGGTTTTTGATTTCATGGGAAATTACTTTGATCTTTGAAAGCTACTTCCTTTCGTCACATCTCTCTATAGTGTATATGTTTTTATGAATATAATGCTTAATGCCTAAGCTAACGCAACGTAGTTATATTACATGAAGTAACTGAATTCAGAACTTGTGCAATTCGAAGAGTACACGTAGGCAACCAAGAAAATGTCGGTACTGTAATCCATTTTCCTTCCCACAACAAAATTGTGATTGTGGTTTACTCGTCCCTGTCGAGTGTCGAGTACATAGGCCTTCCTCTCAATGCGAAATAATTCATTCGATTCCGTTAACGAACTCACACGTAAACGCGCACGCAATCTCGCTCTCACTCGCTCAGTGTCTCTCTCTCTTTGCAGAAAGAAGTATTGAATTTGAAAACCTAACCCTAAGCTCAAAGAAAATCTTTTAAAGAAATGGCGATCGCTACGTTCTCCCCTTCTTTCTATTGTTCTCGCACCGAGTCAGGTCGACTGACTCGCTTCTCTTTAGTTCATTCTCACAAACTGCCGAGCCGAGTCCGCATCGTCTCCCGTCTGAACTCATCCAATAACTCGGTCTCTCCGGCCGACCACAACAGCAACAACAACGACAGTGGCGACAGCAATAGCGAAGAATACGAACACCATCACAGAGCCTTTTTGCGGAGTCGTCGGAAGGGGTCTCCGGTGTTCGTGAAGCTTCCGGAAGATACGACGTGGGCAGGAGGAATATTGAAACGAAAAAAGGCCGTTACGCAGTCTTTTAAGGCGCTGGCGGCGGCCGGCGTAGAGGGCGTGGTGATGGAGGTTTATTGGGGAGTGGTGGAGAAGGATCGTCCGAGGATTTATGACTGGGGAGGTTATCTTGACTTAGTTGATTTGGCTAGCAAATGTGGTTTGAAAATTAGAGCTCTCTTTGCCTTTCATGGCACTGGCCCTGGCGACCGTAATTGGTAATAACCTTTTCTTGATACTGTCAACCTATGGCCATTATTAGCTTTAATTGATCTTGAAAAGAAATAATTGTTCTATTATAAGATTTACATGCAATGCAATCAAATGATTTTTCTGCACACAAATTGGTAGCCCAACCACACATATATTAGGTAGAACACACCTCCAAAAGCTAGCTCAAGGCCAACCACACATATATACATCATAACATCCCACCAAATGCCTCCACTGTTTTTGCATGAGATGAATAAATAGAAAAATGTACACTGTATATAAGATGTTTATGCGGAAAGGAAGCAAATTGGAAGAAAAAAAATATAATTATTTGAAGAGTTATTCTACTAACGGAATTGCCTGGTCTTGAGTGAGTGTGCATTCACAATTTGTAGTCATTTTATTGATTCTCTTGTACATGGTGTGATTGAGGTTGTAAAACAGTATCTTGCATAAGAAATGTATGTAACCTGAAAAGTATGGTTGTTTCTTTGATTGGATGAATCATATTGGAATCTATGGTGGTTTTTAACTTTTTGTTTAGATGATCCGAAATTTGATGGGACTCAGATCTTTCTGAGATAGACAGTTTATATAGTGTGATTCATTTCTATGTTGGAGTGGCTACCTAAAATGTGTTGCATATGTTCTGTTCATGTGGTCAAAAAACATATTCAAGTACTTCTATAGCACTCATTTATTTGGTTCTTAATGTGCTTTTTTATTCTTGATGTGGTAAGACCTCAGTGTTGTAAGTTGTTTATCAGGGAAAGGTAGCTTTGTTTCACATTCATATTGTATTCTGTTTTGAATATATTATGTTAGCACCAGCCAATAGATCTGTTTTAATGTGCCTACTAGCTTGCTCACTTGGTTGGGTCTCATGGAGTCGTATAACACGTCTGGAGATTGAATACTGCTCATATTAGGGTTGTGAGGGGTTTGGTTCAAATTTATAAGTTTTAAAAAAAATAGAAAAGTTCAATAAATCTAGTTCCAACAGTTTCACTTGGGTTATTTCATTAGATTCAAGAAGTATTATGATATACATCCAAAGATGTTATCGCACTGTGTGCTATAGGGTTTTGTATATGGTGTCTTTTCATTTCTTCATGGATTTTTCAGAGTGACAAAAACTACTTGAAGCTTTGGTTCTGGTCATTGACTTCTATAGCCAGTACTAGGTGCCATCATAATGATATTGAACGATTCCTTCTTTAGTTAATATTAAGTACTTCATCTTTATGCAATTTTCTGCTTATGTGAAGGTGGATCTGAAACTTTTTCCTTTTGTGCATTGAAGGATTTCTCTTCCCAAATGGGTGCTTGAAGAGATTGATAAAGATCCAGATTTAGCATATACTGACAGATTTGGAAGAAGAAGCATGGAATATATTTCCCTGGGATGTGATTCTCTACCTGTTCTGCAGGGGCGATCACCAATCCAAGCTTATACAGATTTGATGAGGAACTTTAGAGACACCTTCAGACCTTTTCTTGGTGTTATTATCACGGTGAGCCCACTAATCATAGATTGATTTATTACTGTTGTTGTCATTGATGCACAATTGCAGAACATTTGATGTATAAATCAGGTTGCTTGATGATAATTGTTCATTCTACAGGGAATTCAAGTTGGCATGGGTCCTGCTGGTGAACTAAGATATCCTTTGTCCCCTTCTCAGAAGCTAACACGCAGTTGGCGGACATGTGAACTTGGAGAGTTTCAGTGCTATGATAAGGTAGGTGGGAAAGGTTGAGCTTTAATTGTTGAACTTACATTGTAGTTATCATTGTTCTCTTTAACTTGTGTATTTTTGAGTTCTGATGTCCTTGGTAGTATTGTTAACCACTGTTTCCATATGGTTTCTTTTTCATTGATGGAGACAGTATATGCTTGCTTCTCTGAATGCTTGTGCTCGAGGGATTGGGAGGCGTGAATGGGGAGATGGAGGTCCTATTGGTGCTGGCAATCTGATGCAAGATCCTGAGAAAACTGAGTTTTTCAGAAGCCGTGACGGTTCTTGGAATACAGAATATGGGAATTTTTTCCTTGAGTGGTACTCAGGCATGCTGCTTCTTCATGGAGAAAGGTTATGTAGGGAAGCCACAACCATTTTTCGAGGTGCTAGAGTTGATACATCAGCAAAAGTTGGTGGAATCCACTGGCATTATTGTACACAATCTCATCCCTCTGAGCTAACAGCTGGCTATTACAATACTTCAACCAGAGACGGATACATGCCAATTGCTCGCATGTTTGCTAGGTATGGTTTTACCATGTGTTGCTCGTGTTTTGAAATGCGAGATGTGTATGAGAAACATATTAACCCTCACTCTAGCCCGGAGGGTTTTCTGAGGCAGCTCCTATTGGCTGCAAGGATCTGTGAGATACCCCTTGAAGGTGAAAATTTTGCAACTGATTTAGACGATGCAGCATTTCAACAGATGCTAAAGATGTCAAAGTACTACTCAGATGGTATTCAAAAGCCATCTTTCTCATTTAACTTTGTGAGGATGGATAAAAGCATGTTTGAGTACAATAACTGGGTTCGTTTTACTCATTTCGTGAGGCAATTGTCTGATGCCAGCAGTTTTCGAGCCAAGTTAGATTTTAGAGGCGATATACGGCCATCTTCCTCCGCCACATCAGATGCCACGAAAGTTGGAGTAGCTTTTGCATATGGTTAATGGAGGAACATACCATTGATTTGCTGTGTATACCCTATACATGATTCGATGATCTCGTATCTATTGTTTTGAAATGTGTGGAAATGCTGCCTCATTGTTCTTTTCCCATGTTCCAAGCCTTCTTTAGGGACAGTTTTAAAAGTGTATGATGATAAATTGCCTTCCTCTTATTTTTTCAAATGGTTGGCTCCCTTATCTTGTACGTATTTTCCACTTCAACCGTGGAGCACGATGTCTTCTGTTTCAACTAATACATAATTGTTGATCCCTTTTTCAATTGAGTCGGTAAAATAAATGTCAGCCTTAAGGGCCTACTCAAAGATCTCCCGAATATTTTACTGAAAATGGCTTATCACTGTCTCGAGACTCTCGACGCTCCAGTTTTGGTACATTTCCATGGACGGCCAGATTAACTGGTTGAGTCGTTCTTTTCATAATCATCTAAACCATAAAGAAATGCAAGCCCCACATTGCTGCCAAAAGAAAAGCTCTTCGTACAGGTAGACTAAAGGAAAAGTGTTACATATATATTTTACATTTACTTTGGAGTTTTAACTGCATATCAAACTTCTTTATCTTTCATTCATTCTCTGTGTAATAATAACCACTCAAGTGACCACTTAGTGCAATAACTCATGGGCCAGCACGCTACAGTTTTGGCTTTGTTATGAGATTGTGCGTTTTGTTGTGGGTGTGGCTCCCATTGTTATCCCAATTGAAATAATGTTGCTTTGAAACTTGGGACATCATCTCCCAGTCTGTATTAATTATACTCAGTTAATAAATGCAGATACAGAATCTCATTGATCAGCTTTTCTAAACTATACACTGTACAGAAGACAGTTATATTCATCTTCTCTACATAAAGAAATATTTAGTCTGGTTATCTCATCGATAGATAAGTTCGTATTAATTGAATATCAATTGTCATTGTCATTGTCATACACACCCCACATCCTCTTAATAACATCACTAGAAGAAAACCCATCACCACACAGATGGCTTTAAAATAAAGTAACACCATTTCTTGTAGTAATTTTGAGTTAAAAAAAAAATCCTCTTTTGACTGCAACTTTTATAATCTTAATCAAATATGAATTGAAGTTGATAGATGGGAATGGCATAAAACTGTTCGTTGTCCCCAAAAAAACAATGGTTAATAAGTAAGGATTCTTGGTAACATGTGTACAGAAATAGTATGATGATAATGTGTGTTTAGCTGTCATTAAAGCTTTGTCAAAGCATAGGGTATTTGTTAAAGTTTTATGAAGAAAAAGCTGGGAAGGTTGAGTAGTCAACTTTAATAAGGTGCTGTGACTTGTTTTGATATGACTCCCACCATCCAATAAAATCATGATTTCAGGGGGGGGCTCTCTCAATAAGAGATGAGCATTGTTTACTACCTTACAAATTGAGATAATTAAAAAGTTGGGTTGGGGGGGGGGGGAGGAGGGAGGGGGATAGAAAATGAGACTCAAATGTAGAGGATTTCTCATGATGCAGCAGTATCAGATCAGCAAATGCATCTTCAGGTTATCTAGTACTGTTGTAGGTGTGGATAGAAAATGAGACTCAAATGTAGAGGATTTCTCATGATGCAGCAGTATCAGATCAGCAAATGCATCTTCAGGTTATCTAGTACTGTTGTAGAGATTGACAAAGCAACCAGAGTTGATCAATATATAAAATAACTGGCCAGCCAGCTGGTTACCAGCATATTAATATATAGATATATTCATGTTAATGAACATCTGTTTAATCAGTTTGGTGACAGCTTGAAGCTGTAGAATTTGCAGATTTTGTTATGAAATTCGACGGCTTAGAGCTGGCCTCCTTTGAGACAAACAAACCAACACCACCATCATTTCTTCCACTGAGTCCATTCTAAAATACATAGGATATTTTGCTGTGGTCTCTAATTTTCAATGGCCTACCTACACAAAAATTGTTTTAATATATATGGACCACGGCTGATGGCCTCTCTATGCTTAAATACATGCATGGAAGCTAGTGCTCTTACTGTATGTTGACCACTTCATAGAATATTAAACATAAATATAATACCATGTCTCAAAGATGGTCATAAAAAGAGTGGTCGAGACTCTCTAAACTCTAAACTCTAAAGGCAAAATCATATAATTCGGAGCTTGTTAAGCTGATGAATCTATGAGAGCTAACTTAGTTTGAGCCATGCGTATTGGACAGAAATGAAATGATGATGACATGCAGAAGTTAGTGCAGTTGACCTCTTGTTAATGGATGTAGCATTCTCTTCGTTATTCTGCTAAGATATCGAGTAGTACGCAATATGAACAGTAGCTTTCTTTGTCTTGTTCTTTCCCCTCTCCTAAATTCACTATATATGAATTGCCAAACACTCTCTTATTTCCATATCTCAACTTCTCCTCACAAGATCCCATTTGTAGCACACAAATACTCAACAAAATGAGCCGGCCTCGTGTTAAAGCTTTCATGTTCTTGCTTCTAATATCACTCATTTTTATCTCTTCATCGTCTGCTGCAGGTAATAAGAAGATTAAAAAAAAAAAAAATGTCTTGTATTGTACACATTTTCCCAAGTAACAAGTAACATGGCTTCTATTTTTACACAGGAAGAGTCATAGGCCACGTTGATAACGCGAATTCTGCAAACCCAACCACTGAGCAGGTATTTTAAATGCATTCATCCATGTGAGTGAAATTACACAATGGTAATTACTTTCTTTTCNAAAAAAAAAAAAAATGTCTTGTATTGTACACATTTTCCCAAGTAACAAGTAACATGGCTTCTATTTTTACACAGGAAGAGTCATAGGCCACGTTGATAACGCGAATTCTGCAAACCCAACCACTGAGCAGGTATTTTAAATGAATTCATCCATGTGAGTGAAATTACACAATGGTAATTACTTTCTTTTCTTTATCAGATGTTCTTTGGTTAATTATAATTAGCATGAATGTTTAGTTTGATTTGAAGGTGAGAAAGATGATAGAGCTGAACGCCGTAGTAAACGATTACGAAAAGCCAGGGCCAAATAGAAACCATTATCCACCCGGCAAAGGTGGTCGCTGAAGAGCTTTAATGGGGTCTTGATGATCTATAACAAATAATAAATGCTGCTTCTCCTGCGTGAGAAAGGAAGCTTTAATCTCAGTCTTCAAACTCCAATATATGTTTTCGGTTTCTTCAATGTAAACTTAGTTGTACGTATTACCATCATCTCCAGGATGATATCGATAATCTATACTGTACGTGTGCTATTAATAAAATATAATTATCTCTTAATTAAGATATAGCTGGCATGGTTAATTCATCTTATTACAGAATTTGCAGATAGAGGGGAAGATAAATGACTCCATTAATTAAGATTTAAGTTACTAAATATGGACTTAGAAATCATAAATTGGCATGAGGCGGAGCGGCATTGATTAAAACGCAGTAAATTCCGAGTAAAACGACAGAGTTAACTATAAGCGGTTAGCACAATTACTAACTTACTTTTTACCGTTACTACGGACTGACAGTTAACGTAACGGAAACTCAGAATACGGCATAAAATTACCAATATACCCCTACCTCTCTTCTGAATTTGATGTTTGGATAACCAAACCTTGGTGTCAGTTGAGAATGGTAACATGTTCTAATCTTCAATCACCTGCTTCTCTCGAACACTCTCTTCTTTCTTCTTCAATAATTTTAAATTCACGTTGGTTCACCTACTTTACACTCATTTCATTACTCTCAAATTTATATTCTTTCATTATCTTAATTTTCTTACCATTCAAGCCCAACCATGCCCGGTTTAGTATCCGTCAAGACTCCGCCGGACGTTCCCACTCCCCAGATCTCCATCCCCGAGATCCGACCCGAACAGTCAACACCCACTACTCCACTTCCCCGCCCCAAGCCTCCCTCACCCTCTCCTTCTTCACGATCAAAGGTGCCCAGTCCTAGCCCCACCCAAACCCGATCCGGGAACAAAAAGCCTCCTCCCGACGTCAGCGACGCCTCGCTTGACAATCCGGATCTCGGTCCTTTCCTTTTGAAACTCGCACGTGACACAATTGCCTCCGGCGAGGGTCCTACCAAGGCTTTGGACTATGCCATCCGAGCTTCGAAGTCTTTCGAGCGATGCGCGGCGGCCGAAGCCGAGCCGAGCCTGGACTATGCCATGAGCCTGCACGTGCTGGCCGCGATTTATTGTAGTCTCGGCAAGTTTGACGAAGCTGTACCGGTTTTGGAGCAGGCGATTTCGGTGCCGGACGCGGCGCGTGGCGCGGATCACGCGCTGGCAAAATTTTCGGGGTACATGCAATTGGGTGACACGTATTCGATGTTGGGTCAAGTGGATCGGTCCATTGGTTGTTACGAGGAAGGCTTAAAGATTCAGATCGAGGCTTTGGGAGACACGGATCCCAGAGTTGGAGAAACTTGCAGGTATTTATTTATTTATTTTTAATTTTCTACTTTTTGGATTTTTATTGAACTGAACTTGAGAATTCCTCCAATAAGATTTTGTCACGTATTATAAATTTATAATTACGAAAATTAGGAAGATTTGAGTTTGTATATATTGTGAAATTTGGCTCAGTGATTTTAGGAAAACGAGGATCATTTATTTAACTCGTCCGAAACTGTCAACAATCCGAAATATCGGGTTTCCGTTTTGAGAAAACAAAAGTGACGGGTTTTGCATTGGAATTGTTTTACTTCACAACCAGTTAGGTAGAACATTTATCATGTGTTTGGATCTGGGAAACATTGAGGGACGAGGGAAGTTAAAACCATTTATGAAGTTTTAATTTCATATTAATTGAATTTCTTTCTGAATGTTATGCCAATTTATATACATTAATTTGTATAAGAAAATATGAAATAAAGCTGCTCTTATAAATGTGTTTGCTATATATTTGTGTTTATATGACTGAATGTTTAGTGATGGCTGGATAATTGACACAACAACTTTTTGCAATTAAGTTTGTGACCTCTTTATCTTGTTTTTGGAAATGGCAGATACTTGGCTGAGGCTCATGTTCAAGCAATGCAGTTTGATAAAGCTGAAGAATTGTGTAAGAGAACTCTTGAAATTCACCGTGCTCACAGCGAGCCAGCATCTCTTGAAGAGGCAGCTGACCGCCGACTGATGGCTCTCATATGTGAGGCAAAGGGAGATTATGAAGCAGCTCTTGAGCACCTTGTCTTGGCCAGTATGGCAATGATTGCAAATGGACAAGATAATGAGGTTGCTGCTATTGATGTTAGCATTGGCAACATTTACTTGTCTCTATGCCGCTTTGATGAGGCTGTCTTCTCATACCAGAAGGCGCTCACTGTTTTCAAATCATCAAAGGGTGACAATCATCCTTCGGTAGCCTCTGTCTTTGTACGCTTGGCTGACCTGTACCAGAAGACTGGAAAGCTCCGTGAGTCAAAATCCTATTGTGAAAATGCACTGAGGATATATGCAAAACCTGTGCCTGGAACTACAACTGAAGAGATTGCAGGTGGGCTGACGGAAATTTCAGCCATTTATGAGTCTGTGGATGAGCCTGAGGAGGCACTGAAACTCTTGCAGAAGGCAATGAAACTATTGGAGGATAAACCAGGGCAGCAAAACACCATAGCTGGAATCGAAGCTCGCATGGGAGTGATGTTTTACATGGTTGGGAGGTATGAAGAAGCTAGGAACTCTTTTGAGAGTGCTGTAACAAAACTTAGATCAAGTGGGGAGAAGAAGTCAGCCTTTTTTGGGGTTGTATTGAACCAGATGGGATTGGCTTGTGTACAGTTGTTCAAGATAGATGAGGCTGCTGAATTGTTTGAAGAAGCAAGGGTGATACTGGAACAGGAGTGTGGACCATGTCACCAAGATACTCTTGGATTATATAGCAATCTCGCTGCAACATATGATGCTATGGGGAGGTAATATATCATTAAAAACTATTCTGCTTTTGGTTGATTTGTCTGGACTACCAATATCAAATATATTGATTGGACTTGTCCTAGCTTGTATCATTTGTAAATAATTTAAATTAATAGCTTCCTGGTGAGGACTGTATATGTATTGTGTAGTGTCACCAAAAGTGGCAAAGCTGAATCTCTTAGTTCCCTACATATTCAGCAACAGGACACAATCTGCTGCGAGGTCATTACATTTTCATGGTGGAGTTGTAGAAGGATTGGACCCAGCATAAAACCATATTTCTTCATGAGTTTCCTCAGCTATATAAACCGTTCGCATAATATAGTGATATGGTTCTCCGAGTTGCCTTGGACTGGACTTGCTATTTTACTTCTTCCTTTACTTCTGGTGAAGATGTATCCTCATGTCATCAGTATGGCTGATACATGATTTGTCCTTCCACCTTTATTATATATTACCTGAAAAAAAGGTTTCTATAAGGAATGTCATAATTCATAAATATCAAAGTGAGTTTGATTTGGAGTGGTTTTTAAATTTTATATTGTATTTTGAGTGTGATTCTTTTTCATGTATTCATTGCTTCTTGTAGTAGNTTGGTTGATTTGTCTGGACTACCAATATCAAATATATTGATTGGACTTGTCCTAGCTTGTATCATTTGTAAATAATTTGAATTAATAGCTTCCTGGTGAGGACTGTATATGTATTGTGTAGTGTCACCAAAAGTGGCAAAGCTGAATCTCTTAGTTCCCTACATATTCAGCAACAGGACACAATCTGCTGCGAGGTCATTACATTTTCATGGTGGAGTTGTAGAAGGATTGGACCCAGCATAAAACCATATTTCTTCATGAGTTTCCTCGGCTATATAAACCGTTCGCATAATATAGTGATATGGTTCTCCGAGTTGCCTTGGACTGGACTTGCTATTTTACTTCTGGTGAAGATGTATCCTCATGTCATCAGTATAGCTGATACATGATTTGTCCTTGCACCTTTATGATATATTACCTGAAAAAAAGGTTTCTATAAGGAATGTCATAATTCATAAATATCAAAGTGAGTTTGATTTGGAGTGGTTTTTAAATTTTATATTGTATTTTGAGTGTGATTCTTTTTCATGTATTCATTGCTTCTTGTAGTAGTGGAGGGATTATAGTTTGGAATGCAGAGTGTTATTCTATGTGTTTGACTTGTTAATCTGTTTGTTGCAAATACTGCTCGAAGTCAGAATTGGAACAACTTATCTGATGTTGAACCTTATTTGATGAAATAACTGCAGAGTAGAAGATGCCATTGAGATCTTGGAGTATGTCCTTAAATTGAGAGAAGAAAAGCTGGGAATCGCGAATCCTGATTTTGAGGACGAAAAGAACAGGTTAGCTGAGCTCCTAAAAGAAGCTGGCAGGGCCCGTAATAGAAAGGCAAAATCACTCGAAAATCTCATTGATCCGAATTCAAGGAGGACAAAGAAAGAGGTGACAAAGAGATGGCCAGGCCTGGGTTTTAGGATTTGAACATACACAAATTATCCCTATCAATTCACTTTCAGACGCTCAGGCTTTGTAACATAGAAAGATCATGTATAGTGTCAATTGTCAAAGATGTAATTTGGTGAGGTTTCCTGATTTCCAAGCATTGATATCTGCATTTGTTTTTAATTGTTTTATGGAATGTCTGTGTTGTGCCTTTGAAATTATTGGCTGAGAAGAACATTCATCTGAGTGAATAAATTTGAGAAGAATGTTTTGATCTCTCTGTTTCCACTGCTCAAATCTGTATTAGCACATGCCTTAAGTCTTTACGATTTAGGCTACAAAAAAAGAATGTGATATATGATTGCATTACCAGACCAGAAACGAGATGTTCAAATAAAACCGCCCAAAGTAAACACAAAATCATCTGAAAGATTGTCATGCATGCATCGGTATTTCCTAGAGTTTTCAGCTGTTGTAATGAAACAGAGCATATTATGCAACTTCTACATATTATAACCAGAAACTATCAGTTGGTTGCATAATTTTACCTGCAAATCTGTGGCTTTCAGGCTTTTAGAAGAAACACTGAGTGGTTAAAGTATCATTTTAAGTGGAACTTTGTCTAGGCAATTATGTATTACAGTTTCCCCAAATAGAAAACTTGGTATGTCATTATTACAGTCTCTTGCTTTTATCACCATTTTGATGTAATTCAAGTACAAAATGAATTTAAGTTAATGTTCTCCACAGCTCATGTTTCTGTGACCTTGCATCTTTCTTAGCCAGACAGATTAGGCCAAGGTTTTGTTTGTTCTCTCTCTGTCCCGATCATTAAAATGCTTCCATCTCCACCGAACCCATGTGAGCTTTTAACTATTTACAGTTGACAAAAAAACTTGCATAAATTCCTGAGTATAATCAATCAATCAACTAAATGCATCATTAGAGTTTCTCAATTATTATAGGCTGATTGTAAAAAAACTAGAATATTATATGTTCTTTAGCAGTTTTTTTTTTTCCTTAAAATATTATTGAAATGCTCTGAAAAGAAGAATAAAACAGGTGTCAAAGAACAAGGTTCTAAGGAATTATATTTTGTGATATTTACTATCCCACCTCAGGATTAAACAGTAAAAAGCTTTCGTTTTGTACCCACAAATTAATATTCCCATTCAGATGAAAAGCAGAAACGACAAAACAAAAACACTTATTAGCTTTAGCATCACACTGTGGGGAGGTACCATTTCCCAGTTTAGAAAGCTCTGAGACTTGAAGTTCTCTTCATATTCTTGTTTCAGATTTCTACTTTAATGTTTTGGATCCATCTGTATTTCTTCATCAATTTGACAGAGTCAGAATTTGGCTAATCAGACAAATAATCATAGGCCGTTCATAGCTTAAAGAGGTGATGAGGAATATATTTTGTTAATTATAATCAGAAATGCCAATCAAGATGCACTATACATTTTAGCCTTGTGGCTTATTTATTGATAGAGACTCAAACCTTCCATTCCACACTAGCTGATGTCTTTGGTGTATTGTAACAACACCATTGGCCTGCACAGCCCATTAAACCAACTCTTTGTCAAATTGTTTTGGCACTTATGGAAGACTTGAAGGATCCAAAATGATGGGGATTTTGATTTTTAGAACCTTTTTGAGATATGGGAGGCTGAGCATCATATCCAATTCTCTATTGTGCCTATAAACTACACCTTATAAGGACATGTGTGGCATGTGCTCTTCATATAATTTTAGAAGAATAAGATCAAAGTGGATGAATCATGGATTTGTTTTTTACTTGACCAAAGTCCATAAATATTAGCAAGAACAAGAAGAAATAACAGTAAAAACTTTTGACCTTGGCATAGAAATCTAGCCACTTTTCTTTATAATATTCTTACAAGTACTTATAAGACACTTAAAAGTCACAAAAATGTAGCGCACAAACTCAAGTTAAATTCCTCATCTAAGTATCCGTAATTTAAATGGAAGCTATGACGGTGGATTGTTATGCTAGTTTTCCTCAAGACTTTGAACACTTTGATTAAAAAAAAAAAATTATAAAAATGTATAAAATGACAAGAATCAAGACATGTACAAGACACAAAATAATGCAAATTTTGAATACATAATTAGATAAATTAAAATAAAAAGAATTATTGATCGTTATCATGATGAAGTGGTACACTACATAGGATCAAGAATATTAGTATCAATCTTGCTCCTACTCTATGAACGTATTTAAATATTCTGTGTTTCATTAAGAGATCGATCTAGAAACTTGAGTGAGGATGAGAAAATTTTTCTGCATTCATACCTATCGTATCTTCTCTTTATTCTTCTTCTTTATTTATTTTACAATAAAATAACAATACCTTCAATCTACATGTTCGATTAATAATTTCCATTTAAAAGTGTTTGGATCCGTCATATCTTGACAATCCCACTTTTATCAGTCCTGTGTACATTGAAGAGATCCTCTTTTTACGTTCATTCTTATGCTTACGGCAATTAAGCTGGTCCTAATTATTCATCAAACTTTTCTACTTCTTCCACATAACCCTACCTTTTCATTCTACAAGATAGACTTTGCTAAGGACATTTCGAAAGGAAGAGAATCGAACCATAAAGAACCAGATACTGATCTTTTGACCTGTTCCTTTTTCTCTGATATTTTGGAACGATTTGAGTTCATAAAAGTCAGTCACCACTCTAATCTCTCCACATATCCTGTATCTAAAAAAAACCTTGATGCATGCATGTATTTAATTTGCAGTTGCCATGTTTTTGTTTCTGTTTTGATCTTTAAAGTCTGGTAGGATTTCGTTTGAGGATATATCATATATGTAAAGTTGAAAACTGGTATAAAATCTGATGCTGGTTTACTAAATTTGGCAAAACCCTAATTAAGAAGAATTAATAATAAGAAAGTAAGATTTGTAAGCAACATTAATTGCATGTTAAAGTCACATTCTGGCCATGACCCATCTGTGCATGATCATGATATTCACGGTTAATAAAATCAAAAGGCTAGCTTATATCTTTTGTATGAAATCTGATGGTGTTTGATCTGTAGCTGACTGCCAACAATGGTGCACACGTTTGTATTACGCCAATTTTTAACCTAATTTATGAGCTTGCCGTAATTTTATTTTAATAAATGGTAATCCCAAAATACAGAAACCATATCATACTCTAAAGAAACAAAATCATTTTGGTTCTATTTCCATATATAAACTGAGTTCAAACGCTGCAGGCACATTTAGTTTCTGGTAAATATGAATTGGTTTTCTTTTTGAAACAGTAATAGTTCTGACATCAAAATAAAAACGTTACGGATATTGGATGGCAATTGCGAGAAGGCAGCCGCCCACCGCAAACGGACGGCAACGGTTCAAGAATGACCAATAGACTGGCTCAAAACCTGTAAGTTTAAGTTGTGGGGCTTTGAGATTCTTGAAGGCAGTGCCCAAAAAAATAAAGGCCCTTTTCTCTCACATAATAAAGGCACTCATTTCCAAGTGTTGGCATATTTTCTCACTACTCTTTACATGTCATGCTGGTGACCAACCAGATTGGATATACTTGCCAAACTCAATTAAGTTCATAGCGGACAGACCCGCACCCAACCTCTACTTAGTGTACTTCCTTTTGTATAAATATATGTAACGCTCTCTCCAACTTCATAAATCCACAATTCCGTCTTGCTTTACCAGCAGTCTTAGCCTTCTCTTCCTCTTCTTCTTCTTCTTCTACTTCTTCTTCTTCTTCTTCTTTAGCTCTCAATTATGGTTACTGCAGCGGTGAATACTGCTCGAAATGTAGTTGGTATCCTAGGTGGGTTTAATTACCTTTACATATCTCGCTCCTTTCAACAAAGAAATAATAGGTTCAGCTTCTTAACAATTTCTGGGTGGCTCATTCATGTTCTGGATTCTACGTAATTTATTTGGCTACAAAAGATGCATGCGACGTTCTGAGATTGCTTCTATATATTCATTTCTTGCTGCTTATTGTTTCATTATTATTTGATTTTGTAATTTTCATCATCTGAATCGCTCCTTTTATGTTGTTAATTTGCAGGGAACATCATCTCACTGTTTCTGTTCTTATCACCTGTGTAAGTTTCAGTTTATAATTTTTAATTTAGTATAGTTAATGAGGCAATAAAGTGATTTTGTCACTAATATAAAAAAAAACAAAAGTACTGTCCATTGGAAAGACAATATTACCCATACCTTCAACCCTTTTTTTGGATAAAAAGAAGAGCATTATTGGTTTGCAGGAGCAATTTTCATGGAGAAGAGTGCCGTAACTGAAAGCATAGATTAATTAATTATTTTCCTGTAACAAGTGGATAATGTTATTTCAGGAAAAATATGTTTATTAATCATCTATTAGATGAACTTAGACAAAAAAAGCTTTTTACCTTTACATTTAGTTCTATTAAGTCAAGTTTTTAATGATCCAAAACCCATTATGAACAGTTAAAAACCAATTTATGGTTGTAATTTTTTACTTTTGCAGGCCAACTTTTGTTCAAATAGTGAAGAAAGGCTCAGTTGAGCAATACTCAGCAGCTCCATATCTGGCCACCCTAATCAACTGCATGGTTTGGGTGCTGTACGGGCTGCCCATGGTGCACCCTCATAGCATCCTGGTCATCACCATAAATGGCTCTGGAACAGCTATAGAGCTTGTGTACATAACCCTCTTCTTAATTTACACCGATAAGAAGAAGAGACTCAAAGTTTTAATGGGACTCCTCGTTGAGCTCATCTTCATCGCCATTGTTGCCCTTCTGATTCTTACCCTTCTCCACACAACCAAGCACCGTTCCCTGGTCGTTGGTATCGTATGCATTCTGTTTAACATCATGATGTATGCTTCGCCATTATCGATCATGGTTAGTTTTATTTACTTTAACTCTTGTCAAATAGATAACTTATTATGCATGGTTCATGCACTTATTATTATTTTTTATTTATTTTTTTTGTTTAATTTCTTTTGATGCAGAAACTTGTGATTACGACAAAAAGTGTGGAATATATGCCATTTTTTCTCTCTTTGGCTTCCTTAGCTAATGGTGTTGCCTGGACTACTTATGCCTTCCTTCCTTTTGACAAATTCATCGCTGTAATTTCCTAAATTTTCTGACTAGATAATTGGCAAGGTTTTGATTCTTTTGGAAAGGGTCGACATGGGTTTCTTCATTGGCACTTTATTTATTATTCTTTGCGCTCAAATGGTTCTTTTTTTGTTCTTGGTCACCAGATTCCCAATGGGCTTGGCACATTATTTTCGATGGCCCAACTGATACTGTATGCTTGGTATTACAAATCTACAAAGCGAATGATAGCAGAAAGAAAAGCAAAGAGTGGGGAATTGGATTTATCAGATGTAGTTGTGGGTGGAGAGCCGAGGAAGATTGGTAACACAACTCAGAATGGTCGTGCTTCTGAAATCCATGGCGGAGTCTGAGTTTCCAGGGTCTTGTTGATCCTGTTATGTTTTGGCAGTCAAGCAAAATATCCAACTGTTATAGTTTCTTTTACAGAAGCATGCCAGCGACCAAAGTTGGTGTCGCCAAGTCCTTTCATTTCACTTTTCAATAATGTTTTGTTTTTGTTTTTTGGGTTTCTGCTTCAGTTTGTGTGATCTGCAATTCAGGAAATCAACAGGGTGGTGATGTCTCTGTAAGCCATATGTTTTTGTAAATGGTACATTAAGGAAACCTCTTTCCCCATAATTAAGCACCCAAGTTATTGCTGAAATTGCTTGTTTTCGTGTTTTGAATGAAGTACTGTAAGATAACTGAGACTGAACATCATCAAAAGGTTAATCCTTTCATTATTTGAAGAACAATGATGACCTTCAAGAGGTTCTTCGTGGGACATGGATGAAGCTTGGAGGTTCATGACTTCAATTTTGTATAACAAAGGAGAATTTCTAACCGTCTAAAGACAAGTCATTAAGAAAACCATAATGGAGTTCCGATTTCTATATCAATTACCCATTAAAAATTAAACATGCAAATATTAACAATTTAAAGCAGTAAAACTGAAGACAACGGAAAACTGTTTACTACTGAAGCAGCCTCAAGAGAACCAAAATCTACACGTTCACTCTCCTGGTATCCTAACACTACACGGATTAATTATGCTCTAAACTTACAATATTTACAATCTAATCATAACTCCCCAGTGCTCTCACAAGAACTTCCAAGGTTGGTCGTTAAGTCATGAATTGACAATCTGATTATGTTGCTGCCTGATGATCTTGATATATCCAGACACTCGTGCAAGTCGGCATCACAGGCAATCAGAACCCACTCTTGATCATCATCTAGATACTTTATATCAAAAGTACCCACCTCCAACTTCAGCCTCTTGCCCACTTCCTCTTTTAATTCCACAATACCAGAACTTAAAGATATTCGAAATCTTATTATATCTTCTCTATAAGTTGCCTTTATAGTCATACTCTTCATTTCCTGCCGAGCAGGTACACGTGGTATTGTTTGAGTCGAAGTAGCCAGGGGATGCTGAGATAACAAAGTAGCACGTGTCAGGTTTGGCCAACTTGATTCCAGAAACTGTTCTTCCACAATAGCATCAACTGCAGCTGGACATAGGTTTCTCAAATCCTTGGAGCTTCCAGCATCCTCCACTAACATTCCTCCAAACGGTTCTTGAAGTTCTGTTGTTACAAGAGCATCAGGTATTGAGAATGCAGCAGTTAAACTCATTTCCCCTGTGGTTTGAAGTGCCAATTCAGGGGAGCCCCCTACTTTAAAGCAGGGCTCATGGATAACAGAAACATGTGGATCCTTTGAAGGCGCACTTGCGTTTGCAGGGCTACCTTGGCACGAACCATGAGAAGTGGGGGTCCCAGCACTTCCTTCCCTTGACCCACTCCCTGTTCCGGAACTCTTCGAGCCTTTATCTATTTCAGGTGAAAGTGCATTTTGCTCAAGACTAAGTTCCTTGTGATTCAATATCTTTTCACCCAACAACTGATCATCCACCCCGGCCTGAGCATCATTTCCTGGTGTTCTACAGTTGGGAGATTCACTTTTTTCACCCAAAGGTTCGGAGGGTTTTGAGTTTGGAGAGTGTTGTTGGTTGGAGCCATTCACACCAGAAGGCCAAGAAATGGAACCAACAGCAACTGGAAGTGGACTAGTAGTGAGAGAAGTTAATCCAAAAGTTCCATCGGCAACATGGACAGATTCAATTACACGCTTTAGCTTAGAGAGGGAGCGATTAACCTTATTGATCTTGCGAGATGGCCACCTAGAGATCCCATGCTGCCTGCAGATTCGCTTCATTGTTGTAGGACAAACTGTAAAGCAAGAATCTTTCTCAGAACAACCTATTGTAATCACTACTGGATAGCAAAATCAAAAAGAAAATAAAAGATCTAGCTTTCTAATATAAAGAGTACAGCATCACCAAAAGCAAACAATAATAAAATGAACACAAAAGCTTTAAGTGTATATGCATACCACCAAGGCTCTTTGCAGCATCTTTAAGACTCCCAGCAAAATATTGTTGGAGAACTTCTAGACTAATTGATTTCTCAGTCTTTCCACGTTTTCTCTCTGAAGGCTTTTTTGTGTTTTTGTTCTCTTGAAAACAAACTGGGTTGTGGCCCCCACCCACACTTACAACATTGCCTCCATCGTTAATAGTATCAAAACTCACAAGTAACTGCTGCTCCGATAAATCTGGCTGAGGCAACTCTCCCCCTTTTGGTAATGCATTAAGGCCAGGCGGTGATCTCACAGATTGTAATCGAACAGATTCAAATCTTGAAATAAGTTTCTCGTCCACAGAAGCCTCAATGATTTCGATTGATCCTTCACCCTCAAATTCTACCCCGGAGGCAACTTTAAGACTATGGAAACGCTGCTTCATTGTTGATAATATGGAGCCTAACAAAGTTTGTTGCTCATAACTGTCTCTAATGACAGGGGGCAAAAAAAATTCTAGAATGTAATCGTCATCTCCAGTATAAGTGCTCCGTAAGCAGATAGCAAAACAGCTGGTTAATCCAAACATGCGTGCATAGTGTACTAATGGGTACTCAGTTTTGCAGAATCGAGTAATATCATTGCAGAAGCAAGAACTGAGGGAGAAAAACGCCCTCCCAGCGACCCCCTGACCCTTTTGTAGGTGATGCTCAACACAAGCTTCCCGAAAACCCCACATGTGACCATCTACTATGTAGCAAGCAACATCAGTTGTCGACATGCAGACTCGTCCAATGCAGCTACCATCGATGCTACTACAGCTTTTCTTCAAACCACCACCGTAGGCCAGAACACTTCGATGCCGGCATGGAACCCAAGTCTGAGCTAATGGTAATTTGTGTGTTTCACACACAACTGACAATATCTCCAAAATCTCAGCCAGTGCATTTTGGCGCCCCTCATTGCAAATCTGGTTTAAAAGCATTGCCAAGTACATACATCTGTGAGAACAGAGAGGGAAGAATGAAAGAACAACACAAGATTTATCTTCTTGGTTTCCAAACAAGTACCAGAATCAACATGCATTAGGGTCATAACTCACCTGTGTGCTCGTGTGATCCAGGATTTCTGAGCTTTTGAGATTTACTGCCTGCACGAAAACTGAAATAATGTGACTGAAGAGTCTTGAAGCATTAGATTTCTAAATAAGTTTCCCTACAGCCTACAGGTATGTAATTAAGATAATTAAAAAAAATATATTTATTATATAAACTACAACATTTCCCAAATGAATCTGACATACATCACATCATTAATAGCTCATTAAAAATGAACTGAAGTTAGACTAAACATGTTATGCAAGAAAAAAGTAAGTCCAACCTGAAGAGCTTTGCAGACTTTATCAACCTCCGGTGCATAGTTAATCTTCTGCGAAGTCAGTACAAGCTCAATTACACCAACACAGGACTGCCCAGAAGGTTCAAAAACAGGCAGAGCCATGGTTCCTCGAACATTATGGTTAAGAGCATGATCAAGTCGTGAATACTCTGTGCTGGAGTAATACTGCACATTAGGCGTCCATTCCGGCAACTTTTTCCAGAAAACACGGCCAGGAAGCCCAAGCTCTCCACCATTATCCCCATCCACAGAAAACATATACATCAGAGAGACCATCCTATACTGATGTAGACCATTACTATGGGGATCAAGTACAAAGGGTTGCCCTGAAGTTGTTAGAACATACCGACCCCCGACTTTTACTGGCACCCAAACTTGAGCTAGAACATGTTGCTCAGTTGATTCTTTAAAGTACCGCAATGCTTGGGTCATCCTCTCCTTAATCATACAATATCCATCTGAGTTCTCTAAGGGCACCAGTCCCGAAAAAGGGGAAGGAAGACTAGGAAGCTTTCTGTTTTCGTCATTATCTTTTGGGTTTTCAGTTTCAGCACTCGGATTACCTGCAACTAGTAACATTTCAACCAAAAAGACCAATGAGAGAAATCCAGAGCATCATGTTCTGTAAGAAACCGTATATTAGTTAAAAGACTCTGAACCTTCAAATCATGACCGTATGGTCCGTATCCGAAATAATCTAAGGGAAAAGAACGCAGAAATCGCTCCAGAAGAGACCTAAATCCTAGAATTAAAGCCGGGCTGATCAGGAACAAACAAATGATCCATTTAGTTGCCATAAATCAATTCGAAAGATAAAAACTCTTAAAAGCCATTGATTTCTGGGCATTATGCCCTCAAAATCATGTATTTCATTGTTCTATTTAATATCAAATAAACTAGCTCCTAATTCCGAGCCTTCTCAACAGACAAATAAAGCTTAATAAACCTCAGATAACCCTTGTATTAAAGCATAAGTCCTCGTTTTTTGAAGCCAAGATTGGAACTTAGATTTCGATTCAGAGATAGCAAACTCAACAGAAACAGACACAAACTAATTAAAGCTGAAACTAAACTAAACCAAACCAATAAGAAATGTACACGAAAGACATATGTACAGACAAGACACAAACACGGCCAAGTACAAAAAAAGCAAGTCCAAATCCATGAAAATAAAGACATAAAAAGTTGATGAAAAAAAAAAAAGTTCAATTCTTCAACTAACATTTAAGAAAGAGAGGATAATTGGCATGAGCAGCGATTCTATCGTCGTTGTCGGCGTCAGAAAAAGCCCAAAGAGGAGAGCAAGGCTGTTCAGAAGTAGAAATAAGAAAGGGAGACATGGGGTTGGAGACAAAACCGCTCTGATCCAACGGCCAAGGATTATCAAGATCAAGATCAACGTCCAAGTCCATGATGGACGAAGCAGCTGCTACAACCGTAACGTCCTTTGACCTAGAAGAAGGAACGTAGAGGTGGGTATCTTCGTCCGGTTCGGGCATTGTCTCCGGTTGTTAAAAACTAAAATAAAAAAGAAGAGGATATATATTGAAATTTGAGAGAGAAAGAGAAGGTGAAGTTTGGTGGGTAAAAATTTGCAGGGTGTGTGTGTGATTCCAACCATTAGCCATGGAATCCATACAACAGTTGTACTAGTTGCGCTATACATTATAATAAAGAGAAACTATCCTCTGCTGCTCCCTTCCATTGTAACAATCGACCTTCTCTTTTGTCTTCTTCTTCCCCTCCGCTTCCTTATCTACCACATCCCTTGATTTTTTTTCAAAAAACAAAAAAAAAAAAAAAATCTTTTATTTTTTTACTTGCTGTCATTGTTGTTGTTCAAGTGGCTTGGATTCTTGGAAAACTGGGAATTATCTGGAAGTTCTCCAACCTTCTGTAAGTATGTCTCCCATTTTACAATACGTAATGTGTTGTGTATATCGTATTTAATAAGAATTTACTAAACAAAGTACAAGTACGGTGTCGTATGAACAGGGAAGTGCTTCTGCACAATTTCAGTATTTCTCCCCTAATCCCCTTGACTTTAGATATATATTTATAAATAATGTGAATATATTTTTTTGTAACGCCATTTTGTTTCTTTATTTTCTTTTAAAATTTAAAATACAGTTAAACCTCGATAAATTAATATCTTTTAAGACTATAAAAATTTATTAATTAATTGGTATATTATTTAATCTTACAAATGAATAATTATTAATCTATTGAGACATTCTTTCTTTATTTTATTTTTTAAAAAAATTGAACTTAAGGGTGTTATCGAGCCGAGTTTTCTGTTTAACGAGCTCGGCTCGTGAGAGGGAAAGAGTAAACGAGCCGAGACCAAGCCGAGCCATAAATTATATGGTTCGGCTCGGCTCGGTAATGGATTAGGCATATTTTGAGCCGGCTCACGAGCCATCTCTAAATAATTTTGTTTTTTTTTTTTTTCAATTTTTTTTACAAAAATTCGCTGGGCAGCCGTCTGAGTCGTCTGACTGCCCAGCTCCATTTTCTTTTGTTTAAATTATTTATTCTTTTATCAATAAAAAATCAAAATAATTTTTTTAATATTATTTTCTTCATTCTTCAAAGGCAGAGGGCTCTTCAAATTCTGTTGGCCTGCGTTTCTTTGTTCTCCAATGTCTGAAATTCAAATAAATGCAAATCATAATTTAACTTTGTCTGGGCACCAGCCATCTCCAAATAAAATTGAAGAAACCCCAAACCCCAAACAAACAATTAAATCCCAATCGACCGATTAAAGTCCCCTACTGACCGATTAAAGTTCGACGACAATCCAACGAAGATGATGACGAACCGACAATATCCACTTCAGATCTGACGATGATGATGACGAATCGACAATGTTCACTTCAGATCTGGTGAAGATGATGATGAACCGACGATATCCACTTCAGATCTGACGAAAATCCGACAAAGATGATGAAGATCCAACGGGTGCCGAAGGTCTGACGAAGATGAACAATATCCGGTGAAGATGAACAAGATCTGGCCGAAAATCAACACTTTGGGAGGAGTTTGATTCAAATTTTACGGCAAGGGTTCACTGCTGACGGATTTTTCGCGATTTGGAGATTTTAATAACGGGGGCCATTTTGTTATTTTTTAAAACTTGTTTGCATTATTTTCAATTAAATCCCAATGGTTTAGAAATTTTCAAAAAACCCCCCGCTTTTTCAAGACAGGTGCAGCTCGCGAGCTTGACGAGCCGAGCCTTGTATGGCTCGAACTCAGCTCGTTTTGTCTCACGAGCCGAGTTGAGCCGGCTCGTTATCAGACGAACCGAGCCGTTAATGAGCCAGCTCGCGAGCGGCTCGGTTCGTTAACCAGCCCTAATTGAACTTAAGTTCTCAACTAATCATAGGCAAAGATAAACCCACCGTCATAGCTCCTAAGCAAATCATAGGCAAATGTAATACTTTCGTACCTAATAAAAAATTGAACATAAGATTGTGGATTAAAGTCATGCATAACCTCATTGTTTTGCCCTTACAGCTAGGCTACCATGGGTAGGCAAAAAGAATATGTTTGTCGTGTTTAAAATTTTAAAATTTATGAACTAATCCATATTCTCATTCGCTAATAATACGGAAGAAAGTTAAATTTATCATAACTTATTATAATAACTCAAAAGTTTGATTATATAGATAAAAGGTTACTTAAAATGCTTATATTCCATTTTAGGGAAATAGCTTTGTCACACACTATGTGTTCTTTAAAAAAAAAAAAAAAAAAAAACAATCGTTTGCAGAAAATAAAACAATATAAATGCAGGTTAAACGAATGGCCATGTTATAATTAACTATAGTTAATTATGATTAGCCTCAATTTTATTAAATATTTTGCTGGCTCCACCATGATCTTTAGATCATTGTTTATGTTTTTATATAGTAAGTGACAAATTTCAACAACAACGATAATAATAATGATAAGAGTGAACACCATTTACCCACTCAAGGTTTGACGAATCTCCATGTTCCTATCCGTAGTTTTATAAATTTCATATTCCCACCCTTAAAGTAACACCGTCATTACCAAACTATCCTTGAATCTTTTACTTTTGATTCAAAATAACCCTCACATCTCAAATTTCTCTCTACCACCTCTCTACATCCACCTTTACCACCTCTCTACATCCACCTTTACCACCTCTGGCCAGGAGATCCAGGTCAAGCCAAATATCTGGCTTGATTCCTGCATCGTTGGACCTCCTCGACACCACCATCAACATTCCCTTATCCTTCTCATCAAAACCCCTAACTTTTCCATCTAAGTGTACTCGCCAATTACTGGCTACTGCTCTTTGTTGGTTTGCACAACTTTTCAATTTTTAAGTCAGATTTCAATCGATTTCCGCACCAAAAATACCGTTAGCATCCCCATCTCCTTCTCATCAAAACCCTACCTCCACTAATTGTCCCTCCTCACCATTTGTCGTCTATCACTTGCAACTGTTATTGTGCGACTGTCACGTTTTTGTGACTCCACTCCATCGCACAAAGCCGGTTTTTAGCACTCTATTGCTTGTTGTTGTGTTTGTTTATTTGTGTATTGTTATTGTTGTTGTTGTTGTTTTTTGGTCGTCGACTATCCCCTTGCATCCACACCTCCCAATCACTCCTCACTCAACCAACCACCTCCCCAACACTCAAAAACACAACTCTCAACACTACTATAACCCCCCGGTCGTCCCAACCCCCACTAATGCCGCCCCCAAACCAATCGCCTCTTGTGCTGTGGTGTTTTGGACAACTGTGACAGTGGTGGTTTGGAATGAGGGCTCCATGGGAGTTATCATTGATTCATTTCCATTTCAGACTTAATATAGTAGAAATGACTATTTTACCCTTTAACTATTATATTAAATAGTCTTCTATTAATTTAAAGGTGTGAATCTAAAATTTATGAAACCAAAGGTGCAAATTGGGAATTCGTCAAACCTTGGGTAGATAAATGTCGTTTACTCTAATGAAAAGGAAACTATCAATTAGTGGGGGAGGTAGTTTCCTAAACAGACAATAATCCAGAAAGACAAGTTGTCTGCTTTTAATATCATGGTTAGCTTAAAGTCTTAAACCAAATCTAATTGTCTTCGGTGCCCCTCTTAATTTTGTAACATGGGCCACTCCTATAAGCGACAATACAATAATACCCCTTGTGTATAAAAAGTGGTAAAAAAATGAGTGCCCAAAACCTGAAATAAAATAGGTATAATCAGAGAAAAGATGTGGACGTTGATGGCGAAAATGGGCGAATTGTAGAAAAAGGATTATAAAATTTGGATATGAATACTTAATTTGGAGAGTATCAATGAAGGGATTCATGAGGACATAATGGGGCCATTACCGATAATGACAGACTTATCTTATCAATACAAACGGTAGGTGGCCGGGGAACCTGTCAACTTTGCTAACAGGTTTAAGTGTTGGGTAATCCTATTGTACAAAGAAAGTTTGTATAAACTGAAATGGGACACCAAATGAGTATCACGTGACATAAATGTCTATATGATATTAGTATAATATTAAATTATGTGATCCCTTAATGCCACATTGTATGTCATGTGATGCGTTACGTCAATTTACACAAACTCAACAAAAAGAGTTTGTACAAATAGTATTACTCAAAAGTGTTGGGTTTGTAGGACTGATTTAAAGACAAAACGCCAGCCCATGCTCCTTGTTATTATAATCATGATTGTCAAATCGTGTATCGTATCATGTATCGAAAATCTAATTTTTCGAATCGTACATTGTATCGTAGGATACGCTTTTTAAAAAATAAAAAATAAAAAATTTTAAAAATTAATATCATCCCCAAGATTAATTAACGAATTTTGATATTATTGACTTTAAATTATGGTTTTATATAATCAAAATTAATCACAAAATTAAGAATTTATATCATTTCCTTTCAACCATTCATATCATTTTCAAGATATCTATATCTCCATTTATGTTATTATTATTATGCAAAATGGGCAACACATTTTCCTCTTCACTTTTTCCATGCAAAATAGGTAAATTTAGGACGGATTTTAGTGAATCAGGTTGGGTGACCCGGATTCGACTTGAAATAATTTTGGGTCTTCAACCAAAATTAATAAAATCGTATCGATATTTTTAAGTATACGAACTGATACGTATCGTATCATATGATATATATCAACGTGTCGAAAGGTTTATGATATACTCTTTAATACATATCGTTGACGACTTGTATCGAATCGTATCGTAGGATATATATCGTATATCGTATGATACTAATAACCATGATTACAATAATTAGACTCTAGATTAAGAACGGATTCTCCTGGTTATTGTAATGGTTAACTTAACATGAGTGGCTTGAGTAAATGGGGCATGCACCAAGCCACCAACTGAGACGAGTTATAGCCATCACAGAATGGGTATCCAAATTGCAATTTTACTTAACGAAGAGTTTCAATGGAGTACTGTGTTTGTATTTGCTTGTGGCATCAGGGAATCGCTATTTTCAACATGGGGCCAATGCCATACAAAAAGCAGCACCTACATGTGGCCTACCTCCTCCTCTTATTTTTATCTATATGTAAGCTTTCAAGTTGAAATCAGCAACTTCAATAACCTGGCACAAAGTGAAAGAACTAAAGAGCTATTGAAATCAAACTAAAATTAATCACACACAAATAACAAAAAATAGTCAAAAAGAAAAAACACACGCAATTTATCTTGGTTCACTTAAAATCCGGACTATGTCCAACATTCCCCACCTCTCTCGTTACAATGAATGTATTTGTTATGGTTTTCCTATATCACTCATACAAAAGAATAATGTATTTATCTATTAGGTTTATGAAGAGAAATCTAAAACTATTAGGATTCGTATTCCTAAACCAAACCCTATAAGGAGTCATATTCTTTAGAGAATCTTACAGCAGAAACCCCAAGTGCCTCACCCCTTATAAGCGAACCTTTTATTGTCAAAGTGGTCGTCAATTCCAACACAAAGAAACCCTTTATTGTTAAAGTGGTCGCTAATTTCAACACAAAGCTGAAATCCGAGATTTAACATGATAGAATATATCTCTTTTGGTTTTGCTATATCATTCATACAAGAGAATAATATATTTATTTGTTAGGTTTATGAAGAGAAACCTAAAACTACTAGGATTCGTATTCTTAAACCAAACCCTACGAGGAGTCCTACTCTTTAGAGAATCTTACAGCAGAAACCCCAAGTGCCTCACCCCTTATAAGCGAACCCATTATTGTTGAAGTGGTGTCAATTCCAACACAAAGAAACCCTCTATTGTTAAAATGGTCGTCAATTCCAACACAAAGTTGAAATCCCAGATTTAACATGATAGAATATATCTCTTTTGAAAAGTAAAAATGAGAATAATTTTTCAAAGGCATTTAGAAAGTAGAATTTGACAAGGATCAGATGATCTGTGTGTCCCTAGATATTACTCCCCTGGGTAGGAACAAGGAAGAAGACAAAGAAAGGTGGTGTAGAATTTGTGGTTTTGTTGCTTTAATAGATGCGTAAATGACAACAAAATTACAACGACCCACTAAACCCACTTTGTCTTCTACTAGCAAGTGAGCCTTTGTTGAGGCTGAATATGCAACCACTTGAAAGTTTATTTTTTTTTGTGTATTCAAAGTAGCAAAAAAAGCAATGGCGACTTCATCACTTTCACCCTTTTGTTTAAATGACAATTCAATAGAATAATACTGATAGTGGTACAGATTAGTTTATTAAGCAAAGCAGATACACAAACCTTAGCCAAAAATTTCTCCAAATGATAAAGATTGGGTGACAAAAAGTTCCTGTTTGCTGTACAAGTTGGAAAGAAAATGAACAGATTGAGCTGAGACAACTAGCAAATTAATTATAATATATGACCGTCAAATGTTTGATAAAATTACTCTTAGAATCTGAGCACAAGAGGGCCATAGAGTTTATAGCGTTGGCAATGGCAGCCCATCAAATCTTTTGATTTGGCTGGATTACACAGAAGGAATTGTGCACCGAATCAATAAAAAAAATTAAAAGGGGAAAATATAATTGGGAATCATTGAGTGACAAATATATATATACAAGCAGTAAACATCAAAAGGAGGTCGGCATTAAAGAAGATAATATTCAATGCCAAAACTTTAGCTAGTGCTGCTCATATAACTTTTTATCAGTGCTTGACTACGTCAAAACAACAACAACAACAACATAATAATAATAATAAAATTCAGCAGACTTTGTAGCTAATATTAATGGAAAGTCAACCAACAACAATAATTTTATATGGTAAGAGGAAAGCGACAAAATCAAATGATATATGTATAATATATGTTAGGCTGACGACACTTTGTTAGACGACCCCTTGAACTAATCGAAAATGCAATGCGGCGAAGCAACAGCTACGGAGGACAGATATTTAACAATTGATCAATGTAATGAGATTTACTAATTTCATATCGACAATTTGCAAGGACAGATGTTACGTGAAAAGAACAGATTTTTTCCAAGAGTTTTGGGTCAACTGTAAATAGCTGTTGTGTGACAGAGAAAAAAATAAAATTAATATAGCTGTAGCTGTAGCTGCGGCTGGATGAGCCACATCAGTAGTATTTGACTTCAACAAAAATTATAAGAAGAAAACCCAGATGGAGGAGCGAAAAATGAAATAAATAAATGGTATAGTCTTTTGTTTTGGTCATATGATGTGGCCAATATAAACTTTTTCTGTAGCTGCGGCTGCTTTTTTGTTCTTTTGAAGTTTGCAGGTTTGGTTGTTATGTTGTCTGTATAGCTTATGATCTTGATACTGCGAATGTAGATTGGGCTGTGGATCTGATGTTAGCAAACTGGCCTCCTCAGTTTCAGCAGCTTGTGAAGTCGGTAATGCAGCACATGGGAAGATGCTATGCTTAAGGTTGAGTTTGTGGACTGGATGTACAGTTTCTGGCGATGATTCTTGTCCAGATTTTTGCAAAGTTTTTGTGGGCTGTTCATTTTTGCTTAGGCCTTCTTTTAAAGGCCTATGTTTTGTTGGCCCTGTTTCTGTTTGATTTCGGCTCTTGTAGGCTGTTAAGCCCTTGTTTTTTGTGTTGTTTATGGCCTGTCTTTCGCTTTTATTTTGCTGTCGTGTCCTTTGGACCAGTCTAAGGAGAAGGCTGGTAACGGGTGTTCCACTCATTTATTATTCTTTTATTCCTATTTAAAATTAAGTAATATTACGCTGACAAATTCAGTTTATAATGGATTTCGTTTGATCAATTGTGAGTTATCATATCACGTTTACGAGAGAAATTTATAAAAAGTGTTTATCACCCTATTTTTATTTTTTAAAATTTTCAAGTTATCCAAAAACGTTTCTTTTTTCATAAGCGTGGGCGCCGAGAGATGAGATTCACCAGGCAGTTCAGCCCAATTGAAGCCCAACAGTTCTCAAACAAATGAACATGTTGCACTCTTCCAAATTCTGAATTCCCAAGTATTTTTCGTAGGACATTTCTGAAAGAGGCAATAGGAATGATCTTTCTTTACATAAATCCATAGATGAAATAAGTAACTGGCAAGCAGAAAACTTCAAAAAAAGTTTATCAAAATCAATCTGGTGGAGTTTTAACAGCAGATTCATTTTACAACATCAACATAAGATCTTTAATTTTATGGCTTTCTTGTGCTTTTAACACAAGATCACTTTTACAACAGTGCCCACATGGTCAATAGCATAAAATTTTACCAGTAACTGCTGATAACTATCGCCTTGTCCGCAGTAGCTTCAATCATTTCAATACATCTTACTTCCTCTTCAAATTCTCTCCCAGAGGCAACCTTAAGACTCTGGAAATGCTGCTTCATTGTAGATAATATGGAGCCTAACAAAGTCCGTTGCTCATAATAACTGTCTGTGATTACAGGGGGCAAAAAGAATTCTAGAACGTAATCATCATCTCCGGTATAAGTGCTTCGTAAGCAGATAGCAAAACAGCTGGTTAATCCAAACATGCGTGCATAGTGTACTAATGGGTACTCAGTTTTGCAGAATCGAGTAATATCATTGCAGAAGCAAGAACCGAGGGAGAAAAACGCCCTCCCAGCGACCCCCTGACCCTTATGTAGGTGATGCTCAACACAAGCTTCCCGAAAACCCCACATGTGACCATTTACTATGTAGCAAGCAACATCAGTTGTCGACATGCAGACTCGTCCCATGCAGCTACCATCGATGCTACTACAGCTTTCCCTCAAACCACCATCGTAGGCCAGAACACTTCGATGGCTGCACGGAACCCAGGTCTGAGCTAATGGTAATTTGTGAGTTTCACACACAACTGACAATATCTCCAAAATCTCAGCCAGCACATTTTGGCGGCCCTCATTCCGAATCTGAAATAGAAGTACAATTATAAACATCTGTGAGAACAAAGAAAGAAAAACAGCGGTTTTATCTGTTTGGTTTCCAAACAAGCACCACATTCAACATGTATTAAGCTCATTACTAACCTGTGTGCTCGTATGATCCAGGATTTCTGAACTCCTCAGATTTACTGCCTGCACAAAAACTGAAAAATATGACTCCCAAATTTTGAAGCATTTAAAATTCAAAATATTTTCCGAAGGAGTATCCAAGAGGATTAAAAGGAAGCATTATAAAACGCAAGACATTTTCAATAAATAATAGAACTCATTAAAATAACAAGAGTCAAACTCATAACATGCGATGCAAGGGGAGAAGGAGGCCAACCTCAAGAGCTTTGCAAATTTTATTAACCTCCGGAGCGTAGTTAATCTTTTGTGAAGTCATTATGAGCTCAATTACACCAACATAGAACTGGCCAGAAGGTTCAAAGACTGGCAGAGCCATGGATCCTCGAACATTATGATTAAGAGCATGATCGAGCCGTGAATACTCATTGCTGGAGTAATACTGCACATTGGGTGTCCATTCCGGTAACTTTTTCCAGAAAACACGGCCAGGAAGCTCAAGCTCTCCATCATTATCCCCATCCACAGAAAACATATACATCAGAGAGACCATCCTATACTGATGTAGGCCATTACTATGGGGATCAAGTACAAAGGGTTGCCCTGAAGTTGTTAGAACATACCGACCCCCGACTTTTACTGGCACCCAAACTTGAGCTAGAACATGTTGCTCAGTTGAGTCTTTGAAGTACCGCAATGCTTGGGTCATCCTCTCCTTGATCATACAATATCCATCTGAGTTCTCTAAGGGCACCAGTCCCGAAAAAGGGGAAGGAAGACCAGGAAGCTTTCTGTTTTCGTCATTATCTTTTGGGTTTTCAGTTTCAGCACTCGGATTACCTGCAACTAGTAACATTTCAACCAAAAAGACCAATGAGAGAAATCCAGAGCATCATGTGCTGTATGAAACCGTATATTAGTTAAAAGACTGTGGACCTTCAAATCATGACCGTATGGTCCGTATTCAAAATAAACAAAGGGAAAAGAACGCAGAAAATCGCTCCAGAAGAGACCTAAATCCTAGAATTAAAGCCGGGCTGATCAGGAACAAACAACTTCACCAAGTTTACTATTCATTTAATGATCCATTTCGTTGCCCATAAATCAATTCGAAAGATAAAAACTCTCAAAATCGTGTATGCCATTGCTCTATTTAATATCAAATAAACTAGCTCCTAATTCCGAGCTTTCTTAACAGGCAAATAATAATATTACTGTATTACTAATTTTTTTTACAAACATGTCTCAGTCCCTAAGTGGTTAATTTGTAATAAGTTTTGTCTTTCTAATAATAAATCCCACTTAAATATTTATTAGAAAAAATTGCAAGAAGTGATTTGGTGGTAACCTTGCATTAAAGCAGAAGTCCTCGTTTTTTTAAGCCAAGATAGGAACTTACAAGATTTCGAGACAGCAAACCCAACAGAAACAGACACCAACTGCTGAAACTAATACTAAACCAACCGAAAACCAAACCAATAAGAAACGTACACGAAAGACACAAGTTTCTGTACAGACAAGACACAAACACAGCCAAGTACAAAAAAACAAGTCCGAAGTCCAAACCCATGAAAATAAACACATAAAAAGTTGAAAAAAAAAAAGTTGATTTCTTCAACTAACATTCAAGAAAGAAAGGATAATCGGCTTGAGCAACGATTCTATCGTCGTTGTTTGCGTCAGAAAAAGCCCGAAAAGGATTATCAAGATCAAGATCAGAGGAAGAAATAAGAATGGGAGACATGGGGTTGGAGACAAAACCGAGCTGATCCAACGGCCAAGCATTATCAAGGTCAAGATCAGAGGAAGAAATAAGAAAGGAAGACATGGGGTTGGAGACAAAACCGAGCTGATCCAACGGCCAAGGATTATCAAGATCAAGATCAACGTCCAAGTTCATGAGGGACGAAGCAGCTGCAACAACCGTAACGTCCTTCGACCTAGAAGAAGGAACGTAGAGGTGAGTATCTTCGTCCGGTTCGGGCATTGTCTCCGGTTGATAAAAACTAAAATGAAAAATAAAAAAGAAGAGGGTATATATTGAGAGAGAAGGAGAAGTTGGGTGGGTATTAATTTGCAGAGTGTGTCTGACTCCATTTTCCATAGAATCCATACAAACATTTATACAAGTTGCGCTTCAACATTAGAATAAAGAGAAATTATCCTCGGCTGCTCCCTTCCATTGTAACAATGACCTTCTCTTTTGTCTTCTTCTTCCCCTCCTCTTCCTTCGTAATGCCAAGTTATTACTATTACATCCTTGCATCTTTTAAAAAATTTCTTTTATTTTTTTACTTGCTGCTGTTGTTAAACTGGCTTGGATAGCTGGGAATTAGCGGGAAGGTCTTCAATTTTCTAATTTTCATACAATATTTCTCATGTGATATTATCGGAATGTGATATTACGCGATAAGATATGATTGATTAATTTAAAATTAAAATTAAACTTTCATTCAATCATATCTTACCATATAATATTATATAAGAAATATTATATGAGAATAATATATGTGTAATATTATTACTTCCTGTAAATATGTCTCTCATTTTTTTAATTTATATATATTAAATATTTATTTTTTCATNAGCTCTCCATCATTATCCCCATCCACAGAAAACATATACATCAGAGAGACCATCCTATACTGATGTAGGCCATTACTATGGGGATCAAGTACAAAGGGTTGCCCTGAAGTTGTTAGAACATGCCGACCCCCGACTTTTACAGGCACCCAAACTTGAGCTAGAACATGTTGCTCAGTTGATTCTTTGAAGTACCGCAATGCTTGGGTCATCCTCTCCTTGATCATACAATATCCATCTGAGTTCTCTAAGGGCACCCGTCCCGAAAAAGGGGAAGGAAGACCAGGAAGCTTTCTGTTTTCGTCATTATATTTTGGGTTTTCAGTTTCAGCACTCGGATTACCTGCAACTAGTAACATTTCAACCAAAAAGACCAATGAGAGAAATCCGGAGCATCATGTGCTGTATGAAACCGTATATCAGTTAAAAGACTGTGGACCTTCAAATCATGACCGTATGGTCCGTATCCAAAATAAACAAAGGGAAAAGAACGCAGAAAATCGCTCCAGAAGAGACCTAAATCCTAGAATTAAAGCCTGGCTGATCAGGAACAAACAACTGCACCAAGTTTACTATTCATTTAATGATCCATTTCGTTGCCCATAAATCAATTCGAAAGAAAAAAACTCTCAAAATCGTGTATGCCATTGCTCTATTTAATATCAAATAAACTAGCTCCTAATTCCGAGCTTTCTTAACAGGCAAATAATAATGGGCATGTTTGGGTTATTATTATTATCTATATTCTCAATCCTATTCTCTAAATAATGTTTGGTATATTATTCCAGAAATATTACCCTATTTTTTAATTATTTTAGACCCCAAAAGCTTATTAATTTCATTAAATACCCCATGAAAAAAGTTTAAAAATTAACAAAAACACCCCCATGACCCATACTTGTCAGATTCCGGCAACCACCGTTGGTGGTAGCTGAAATCTGCCACAACGGTGAATTACCGACCGGAACTGGACGGTAATTCACTGATCTAACCTTTTCTAGCCAGATCCATAGTGGATCTAGTCGGAAAAGGCCAGATCTGGCCGTCAGCGTTGGCCAAAGAAATGGTCATCGTTGACAGTCAACGACGGCCATATCTTTAGCCGTCGTTTTGGCCTTTTCCGGCTGTTGACGGCCATGGCAGGCTGTAGATCAGATCCGTGGTAGATCTGGCTGGAAAAGGCCATAACTCCGCGTTACGACACAGATCTGACCGGTCTGTGTCGTAACGTGATTTTTCGGCCAGATTGCAGCAGTGGTAGCCAGAATCTAGCATTGCAAGTGGTGGGGGTATTTTTATCATTTTACATGTTGGGGTATTTATTAAATTAGTAAACTTAGGGGGTTTTTTTATAAATTTTTAAATTTTATCTCGTAATACTCTCATATTCAATTATCCAATATTATGCCCAAAATTCTATCTAAATAATAAACCAAACGCACCTAATATTATTGTATTACTAATTTTTTTTTACAAACATATGTCAGTTTCTAAGTGGTTAATTTGTAATAAGTTTTGTCTGTCTAAAAATAAATCCCGCTTAAATATTTATTAAAAAAAATTGCAAGAAGTGATTTGGTGGTAACCTTGCACTAAAGCAGAAGTCCTCCGTTTTTTTTAAGCCAAGATTGGAACTTACAAGACTTCGAGACAGCAAACCCAACAGAAACAGACACCAACTAACCAAAGCTGAAACTAGTACTAAACCAACCGAAAACCAAGCCAATAAGAAACGTACAGGAAAGACACAACTTTCTGTACAGACAAGACACAAACACAGCCAAGTACAAAAAAAAAAAAAAGTCCGAAGTCCAAACCCATGAAAATAAAAACATAAAACTTTAGTATTATTACTTTCTGTAAATATATCTCTCATTTTTTTAATTTATATATATTAAATATTTATTTTTTCTTAAAATACGTAATGTATACCGTATGCAATAAGAATTTACTAAACAAATTACAAGTGCGCATATATATAAGAAAGTGTAATGTCATTAACATATTCTTTAATAAATAATAATTTTAATTTTTGTTTAAATAATAATATAATTTGTCTATTTATTTTTATAACTGTCCATTTATTTGTCTAATGTAATATTGAAAAATCAGTGATAAAAATTAAAAATTAAAAATATCAAACCAATTATTATAATTGTTGTGAATTTATGGAGCAAATTATTACTTTGGATGAAGACAACCGATAGAAACAAGCTTTTGCAGGCGCCCAAAATTGAGCTCGAACATGTTGCTCAGTTGATTCTTTGAAGTATCTCAGTGCCTGGGTAATCCTCTCCTTGATTATACCATATCCATCTGAGTTCTCTAAAAGCATCAGTCCCAAGCCAGCCCAGCACGAACAGACGACGGCACAGTTAAGTTTATATATAACGGTTCGCTTAGTTTCTCCCAGAAATCAAGTAAAATAGCTTAAGTTTGCCATTTGGTTATTACCAGTAGAAGTATAAATATCTGACAAAAGCAGATCCAAGCTCATGAGAATGAGCGCATATTAATTTTTTTTTTTTTTTTAAAAGTAGTAATATCCACGGGGATTTATCCCCCAACTGGTAGCCATACTCATTGAGAATTTTCCCCAAATGTACATTTTGTTTATTTTAGGATAATTATTTATTTCCTCCCCTTGATTTTTTTATTTATAAGAATATATAAAATATTTACATTTTATCTATCATATATATTAACATACCATAAATACTAACATTTACATATTTTTGAATAAATTAAAATTGAACAATTATTGAGAATGGACAATGGAGTAAGACTNCCCAAATGTATATGATACTTTTCTTATAAACCCGTCCATGATACTTGAGCGATCATGGCTGCCCTGTAGAGAGAGTACTGAATTCGCTACAAAATTTCACAGTATTTCTGTCATTCTTTCGCAGATTATTATCACTACCTTGCATATACATGGCCCTAAAACTTTCAATATTATTTTTAAGATGAATATATAGATTGATTTTAAACGAAAGTCTTCAATAAAAGAGAGAACTTTTGTAAGAGGATTTTAGAGAATTTCACGAGGGAACGAAAGTCTTCAATCTTAACGAGGATTGAAGATAATTATTGATCAGTGAAATCTGTAAAATCATACCTAAGAGCTGGAGATATTAATGACAAATTCAAACATTAATACATAGCTACCGCTAATAGTATAAAATTCACTTCAGAATCTCAGCACTACCATTGAGCATTAAACAATATAATAAATTGAAATGAATTAAATAAACAAAGACTCACTAACAAAACTTTAGTTAGTGCTCATAATTCATGCAACTTTCATCACTGCTGACGAAGTCAAAACAATATAATAAATTGAAAAGGCGTTCTTTGGTAAGAAGAAATTGACAAATGCAGAAGATATTACCAAATTGAATGTAGCTGCAGCTGCCCGGAGTTGGAAGAGCCACATTACTTCAATAAACATAAAATAAGAAAACCCGGTTGAAATATAATAATAATAAATGGTTAGGTCACTTTTGTTTGATCTTTTCAATGATGTGGTCGATACATACATTTTGATCTAAACTAAGCAATGAACTTCAATATAAGAACTTGAGATAAAAGGGATTCAGGAGGACCCACGTTTCTTTATTCCTGCAGCAGGGCTCCATAAAACCTTGAACATTTTTTTTAACACAACCTCAAAAATCTAAATAAGTAAAACATATCCTAGCCAAAATGGTTTACAATTTTACTTCCTCAAGACTGTTATAGTTACAAAAAGACCTCTGGTTCAACACTCTCATCTCATGTGGCAGCCTAATCCTTCTATCTTTTCAATGATACCATTTTGCATTCCATGTGTGCTTTATAGTATGTTGTTAAAAAACAAAACTGGAAAGACAAATGCCTAATATACAGAACAGTTTGTCTTTACACCCTGTTCACATAAATTCAAAGATGAAAATAACCAGCAGGCAAACAACTTTAAATAAAGTGTGTTTAAATCAGTCTGGTGGAGTTGTAATAGCAAGCAGTTATCAAAATCCCTCTGGGAAAATGTGGTTCTGTCATATTTGCAATAACTTGTATGCTTGTATAAAACTAATTGTATTTTCAATAGCACAGTTTATGTGCAGTACACAACCAAGTCTGATGCCTGTGGCAATTACATCTCCACTACAAGGCAAAATCAATAAAATAATGACAATCTTTTATCATACAAACCAATTAGTAGCACATGAGTGAAATGGATTAAAGGACCTACTTCAAGTGTACCAATGAATTCCAACTCAGAAAAAAAGTATTGATACACCCATCGTTAAGCATCCTGCAGCGACCCAAGGGCTCAACCGTTCACCTGTTTCAAATAAGCAAATGAAAGTCATCCACAAATGTCAGACTATTAGATAATATAAGCAAGTCCTGTGAAACAGGATATTGGGAGGGTGGAGAAATTTTTTTGAATAAATGGGTCATTCCAAGATTTGTATGTAAGGGCTTACGCTTTTTCAACAATTTTGTCATTACACCTGGTACTGAGCTAGGAAAAGACTAGTAATAAACTCTAGATGCATATTCACAATATAAATGAGAGAACATACTTTGATTGTGGCAGTCAATGACTAAAAAGTCATCACTCCTGGCTTGGAAAACATAAGCATCCTTCTATGTCATTTTTTCTGTATCAAACAAGAAACATAGAGAATCTATTTCCTAATTAATATGTGCCCTGTTCATCCTCCCCAAGTTTTTAGTGGTTGGATATGTTAGGGATTCTTCAGTTTCAGCTAGGAGTTGGGTCATATTAAATGGAAGAAGTTCCATGCAAAAGATCTCAATTTCGACCAATGCTATATATGACTTCATTTTGTAGAGTAACATGGCCGAAGATCTTTCCTAATGTCTCTAACATTCACAAAGGATAAAGTGAAAAAATCATAGAGTATTGTTTTTCTATAATTAATCATGCAGTCACACCAGCAAAAACTCAATAAACCTACCTATTCTAGCTGCTTTCCAAAAGAATCCCCGAAACCTGCCACAAGAAAACACCCCATAAGAAGGGCAACTTGGCTTCAATGAAACAAAAACATAAGGCAAAAATTACACAAATTCTAATAAAATTGTCACTTTAAAGCCGATGAACTACTATACAATTTTCCAGAACAACAGATCAAGAACCAGCTATTTCTTCTTCTTATGAACAGTTGGATCTCTAAACTCCAACAAAAATCAAAACTTGAGAGCAAAAACTACTCAAGACAGACAAAACTAATGATGTAAAAACTAAATTCTCATTTCAATGTTAAACGAATTATGACAACGTTGCAATGGAAGATTCAACTTACGCATCAAAATTATATATTGCGATTCTGCTCCACAACATCATATACTATCATATTTCTATCTTATATGAAAACAGATAAATCAAATTCAATCTGAAATCCAATAAGTGATACTCAACTGAAACCCACAATAAAAGCAAAACATTGATTTAACAAAAAAAAGAAAAAAGAAAAAAGAAAAAAAAAAAGAGCAGTTACGAACCCAGTTTTCTGTTCGAGGATAGTGGGAAATTGCATCTTCACAAAAGTGCAAGTGCAAATCACGAGCAGCACCACCGTCAAAAACGAATGGAAATTAAAAAGTGCCGACTGTTTCAAAGAAAAAAAAAAAGACACAGATTTAAATTTCAGTTAATATATGAAATAATAATAATAATAAATCTACAGATGAAATTTCAATTACCATTTGAATTTGATCCGGGCTGTTATTGAACTGATTGTTCTTTTCTTCGGTTGAGTTAGCTTCGTTTCCTTTCTCCTTTTTAGATCTACGGAGATGAAGAACGTCCAAGTGTATCGTGGTATTCTAAAGCTTAAATTTCTACTATTTTTGTGTCAGTTTTGCGCATTATCTATTTCTACTTTTTTGATTACTGCTTTATATTGACTTTTGTGTCGATAATTAATGGTCTAGACAGAATACTGAGCGATCCCAAACACTTTTACAAAACTGACCCTTCAACTTTGTCTTGAATAAAAATTGAATGGTGGACGAAGGCTGTACAAGGACCAGATCTGAATCCTCCGAGAGAAGATGGTTGAAGTTGTGATGAGTGTACCACGAAGGAGGGGAGAGGAGGGAGAATTACATCGCCAGGAATTTATATTTTATAGTGGTGCTTTTGTTTCTAATTTCGAACTAACGGTGTCGTTTTTGTGTTTAGTGGACCGATTGGCTTTGGCTATCTAACGAAGTTCAAAGTTTGGATCTAAGTTGATGACGTGTAATCTTAGTGATTATTAAAGATAATCATATCAAGATTATATGAATTTAATTAAGTTTCGAGATGATCAGATATATAATTTTCATCACTTTTTAATTTTATCAATTTTGTAAAAGTGTAAAAAAGTAAATTATAAAAAGAAATTATCTAATATTTCCTTATACATATTACATCCAAACCCGTTTAAAAACTTTTTTTAATTTTGGTTTTGTTATAACTTATGTGTTTGGTTTGAATTTGGACTAAATATTGTGTTTGAGTCTGGAGACTATAATTTGAATATCAGTTATATATTGTGTATTTGTATTATTGGTTAATTGAATACTTTGTATTTAAAATACTATATTGATTTTAACTAGGTAGTCCATAAAAGTGTTAAAAGTAAAATTAATATTGTCGTATTTTTCAAAATGTATTATTGACAATATACCGTATTAAACCCGTATATATCCGTACCGTATTTTTCCCGTATCTAAATTTTATGACCGAATTTTTATAAACGTATTTTTCATCGTTTGTCGTATTATATCCGTAAAATTCTCGTACCCTTTTTTTACCGTATCTGTATTTACTAACTAGGTCAACAACTATATCAACGTAGTAAACGACGTCGTTTATTTACGCTCAGCATTACACCATTTCGTATTTATTTATTATTATTATTATTTATTGAAACTTACTGATATCACACATTTCTGTTAATCAAATACCATATGATCAAATTTTCTCAAAGGTTAATTTTATTTTGAAAGAATGAAAGTGAAAATGTTTTTATATTAACATTGGAGGTGGGTATAATGAGGAAAATAAAGCATTTATACTTAATTTTAAAATTATTAAGTCCGATTGCATTCAATAAACTTAATGTCAAATGATGATACATGAACTCAGAGTCAGAGGTAGAGTTACAAGTACAACACACCCTTAAAATTACAATTTTTTCTTATCCCCAAGCACTTTCAGAGTCACTAAAATGACGCCATCCCTATGAGAATAAGCACCTTCATTTGATGTTTTCCTATCAGGGTGTTCACACTCGGTTTGTTAGCCAGCAATTCCACATCGTGAGTTACAACTAAGATCCTTTCCAGCCACAGATGGATCACTGAGTACTGAAAGAAAAGATATATCTTCATGCAGCATCTCTCATACTCGGAAAACCCCAATCTTTCTTGGGTTGTACCAGTCTGTGAAACCTGTCCAGAATCTTTTTTCTCATTAAAGATATCGTGTTCTGTAGAAATGATCTGATTAGGATACCGGATTAGATGCCATTTGCTTATAGGCGTCTTTTCTGTTGTGGAGGGTATCCAGGCATTCCCATTCCTTGATCTTTTCTTCGTAACTGTTGCTGCTGATGGGCCTGGGCAGCAATACCCCGCTGCATAGGCATGCCACCAGGATTCATTCCACTTGCTGCTGCCTGAGAGGGGAAATTATATGCCATCATGCCCTGAGGTTGCATCCTCTGCATGCCAATTCCAGGCATTGGTCGGGGAACAGATCTATTTGAAACAGCGTGAGGACCTGCCATGTTCCCAGGGACAGCATTCGAATTTGACACTGGCTGGGGAGGTTGAAGGCTAGCTGTCCCTTCAAAATCCGTATTTGAGTCCACAGGACGAGTAGGATAATTCACAACTTTGTCCCCAGGCTGCGATGGAACAAGTGCATTGCGCCCTGGTAGAGGTTCCATCTTAAAATATTCATGCTCCAGAGCTTGCGCAGCAGTTATACGCTTTCGGGGATCATATTCAAGCATCTTAGATAAAAGGTCATATGCAGGACTTTTGGGAGGGAGATGAACAACATTATAAAGTCCATTACTCTCATACTTGTGCCCTTGAATATGCTGCGAATCTGAGTGCCAGTGGGGAAGACTTGCAAGTGTTGGCCACTTTTCTGGTGTTGGATGCCCTAAGATCTTGAATATCTTATCAAGTTGATCAACCTGGAAAGGGTTTTGAGCAGATTTGGCTTCTGCCCCTTGAAACAGAGGCTTCAAAGTCAAAAGCTCAGCAAAAATGCATCCCACAGCCCACATATCAACAGCACTTGTATAGTGTTTTGCCCCAAGAAGCAACTCAGGGGCACGATACCAAATGGTTACCACAACCCCATTTTCAGATAAGAACTTGAGAGGAGCTTGATAAATTCTTGCAAGTCCAAAATCTGCAATTTTTACAACCCCTTGTTCCTCTCCTTCACCCATAACCAAGATATTTGATGGCTTAAGATCTCGATGTATTATCCAATTACTATGGAGATAATTCAGTCCATTTAGAAGCTGCCAGAGCAATGATTTCACAGTGTATTGATTGATGGTCTGATTAACCTTATCCCTGTGATGTCTAATGATTTCATAGAGGTCATACTCAGCATAATCAAACGCCAGATACAATGACATGTCAGCATGGTTAATGTGCACATTGACAAGCTTCACTACATTCTCATGAGTAATCTCCCGAAGCAACATTATTTCACGGATGGCAGTAGGGGAGACACCATCACCATCTTTAGATTGCTTGAATTTCTTGATGGCAATTGATTTTCCACGATTTGTGGCAGACTTGATTCTTGCCAGAAATACGAGACCATAAGTGCCTTCACCAATCTTCCCTATAAGATTATATTGTTGCAACCACTCTGGCTTCTCACTACTGTTGTTGTTGGAGGCACCTGAGCCGGTTGTGACACCTCTGCTGTTGGTGGTGTTGCCATCTCCCATGATTTCCACGCTACAGCATGGAGTGCCTGAGACTGTTCACGTGGTTTGCTGCTGCCACCGTTTGTGGCTATAGGCCTCCTGAAGTTGACAGAAGCAAGAATGTAACATACACTAATAAAGATATCAAGAAGGAACAATTACAGAAGTCGGAGAATTGCAGACGGCATGGATGAGTGTGAGTTAGAAATGGATTTGCAGTATCTGCACAGAAAAATGCAACAGTGCTATATTCTACAGAGATTACTTTGAGCTCCAAAGAGAGTTTTTTCACAGAATGGCCCAAAGGTTACAAAATGTTTAACAACTATAGTTGTCCATAGAAGCAAGAAATACCTTTATCAAACAACTAGCAGAAATATTGTGTATCAACCCTGTTTACTAAGCAGCAGACTTCTATCCCCTGATTTGTTCTCATCAATTTTGTACAACCAACGCGAATTATAGTTCCTTTCCTTAATATATCACAAAACAATATACACAGAAAATTGAAAAAAAACACCACCCTTTCTTCAGTAAAGAAAGAGAAACTCCTAAATCACACCAATAACTGGAAAAATCCTTCCACAAAAGAATTGATGCATTTAAAATTATAATCTCTATCTTGTTTATTTTTCTGAAGAAAAACCAGTTACGAGCTTCAATGTAATTAAATATCCTCTCATACATTTTGGGCATGCTTAGCTCCCTGGTTCTGCGAAAACAGCAGCTCACTCAAACGATGGCTAAAGAGAGATGTTTGATTAAAACACATAGTAAAAACAATAAAAAGTAACTAAAAGTCTTAGCTAATATTTAAAAACCATATATTTTTATTTTATATAAACGAGAAAAAAAATTGATTCTTTCAATTTACATGAGACGACAGTAAGGATGTAACTTGTAAGTCACCATTAAACCCATCAAGAGAACCGCAGAAACCGCACAAATAAATCAGCACAAAAATTCATAATATCGGATACCAGAAGCCCCAGATCCACCAATTCATGGATCCTATAACTCAATAACGCTAAAAAAATCTGATAAAATTAAACCAACGATCAAGCTTAAATTCGAATAATCAGAACAAAAAGAACCCTAAAAAACACAAATTTTCCCCTTCAAAAAAAAAAAAAAATTAAAGGTGTACCTGAGGAATACTTGGGCACCAGGGAAGATTATCCAAAGCCTCTTGAAGCTACGAGCTTTTTACTGCGGTACCAATTTGGAAATTATATTGCTTTTGCTGAGTTCCCAAGTCCAGACCGCGTCTCTCGTTTGTTTTCCATCTGTCCTTTTGGTTCTAAACATTACTCTCAATTTTTTCCAACCACATCTTGCCACGTCAGCAGTTTACTATAAGTGCGTATGAAATTACGAAACGGTCCAGTTTGTTGCTTTTCATGGAACATACGACGCCGTTCTTGAACTATCTTATTGTCGGTTCCCGCCCGTGTAATTCTTTGGAATTTAAAATTGGCTCTCTTCTTAAACTTTGAAGAGAAATGGACGATGCGAAGAAGAGGTGGAGCGTGACCTTCACGAAGCATATCAAGCAGAAGAGGAAAGTTTACCAAGACGGCTTCTTAGATCTTCACATCTCAACAAACAAGGTATTGTTATTATGTTTATTATTCATTATTAACCAGAAATTCGATTAATTTTAATTGAATTGGTAAATTGTGTTAGCGATTGAAATGAGCTTAAATTAGATGGAGATTAGGTAAGTTTTAAGTGTTTAATCACATGCTGAATTGATACACAGGTCAAGCTATATGATGACTGTGAGAAGTTACTGGAATGCAGAATCTTGAAGAACGATGAAGTTGTTAGCTCCGGTGAAACGCTGACGTTTAATGCATATTTTGTTGATGTCGGTGATCCCGAAGGAGACTGCAAGCATATACCTGATTTGCGTTATCAAGGAAGATATAAGAAAAAACCTCAGTCCGGTAGCCTTAGTCCGTCACACAAAATTATTAGAGGTTTGTTCGTTTACAAGAATATAATGCCGAATTTGTAAAGGAATTAAATGTGGTTATCTATTACTTGTTGTTTACATTTCAGAATTTAAGAAGAGGGAACTGCAAAAGTATGGAACACCAAAGTGTAATTCTGAGAATACAAAACCGAGGAGTACAGGTTAGTTACTGCATATGTTGCTGCTAATTACTCTGAGCATTTTGTTCAGTTTTGTATTGTTCTGATTTACCTTATTCTACATTCTGGTTAATATGTTTGTGTTTTTACTGAAGAATGGCATGCCCTGTACACTACACAATTAACTCAAAAGGCCAAGAAATATAACGATGGTTTCTTACAGCTAGCAACTAGTGGATCCATGGGGAGGCAGGTAGCTTTTCTAAATAGTCCTTTTTCAACTCAAGCTCAATCATCTTGCTTTTTTATCTCAATAAATAATGTATGCTCACACTCAATTATTTGGTTTCTATTCAGATTACGCTTTTTGATGAAACCAGGAGACTCTTGGATAGCAGATTCCTAAGGAGAGATGAAGTAATAAGATCTGGTGAATCAATAGCATTTGATGGTCATTTAGTTGAAATTGGAGAGTGTGAAGAGAATGGTGAACCACTAACGGAGAACGTTCAAGGAAAGAATGGCAGTGTAGCTGGGAAGTCAGAAGTAATTCCCGGACAGCAGAATTGTATAAAAGCTGATAGAAAAGGTGAGAATTCATAGTTTTGACTTTTAAAAATGTTCATGATTCTAGATCTATTATCTCTCCTATGTTCTTTGGATCCTCGAAGGTAGTTTCACCTTTCAACTGTCCGTTAGTCTTACAATTTTTGGCTGCTGACGATGCTCCATATTCGGGATAACTCTTGATATTATTTCAGAGTTCAAGAAGATTGAAGTGCCTGGATATGGTGCACCACAGGGTAGTCCAGATTCAAATTCTAATATAACAGGTAATTTTATGAATCCACTGCTAAAACTGAAATCTTAAATTTCTGCTTTGGATTCTCTTTACTCTAGTCCTACATGTAGATAATGCCTACTCAAAATTGTGTCATTTCTACATTGCAATTATTAGAAGCCTTGGTTGCCATTTTGACACTTTTCTGAAGTGGAACGGACACTTAGCTTTTACATGCGGAGAAAATAATTTTTGTTATTAGATGAAGGTATTTACTTGAGCTGCACTTGATGCAATAATGAAGCGACATTCTTGTTTCTTCTGATGGTATTTATAGGCACTAACGCAATTTATAGTCTGGAAATCACAATTTTGCACGTCTGAGTTTAATGTGTTGCTGCATTGAATGTCTTGTCATTCATGACCAGTGGATTTCAGGGATATATAATTGTTATTCTCATACACACTGCGCATTGAATAACATTGAACTAAGCACCAACATTTCAAGTAATAAGACATTCATTTAAACAATTTGACATACACTAATAAAATAGATTGGCATTTTAGGAGCTTAAAGGTGATTTATCATAATCCATTATCATATGTGATCTGCAAACTTACCATTTACAAACATGACTAGCTTAATGTTATAGCCCATATGATTGGACTATGAGTGTAGTTGAAAAAATATAAGAATTCGACTCTGGTTGTCTTTGTTGTTTCTCCTTTTTCTTTTTTATATTTCTATTACTTTGACAGTTTATCTACAATGGGACAAGAATCATGGAAGTACCTGGGGTTTATTGTAGTTGTTTATTTGTTCAATCTTCTTTAGTCTCCTCTTTCATTATTTTGTTCCCCCTTCTCTTTTTTAATAGTTCTATTTTCAATGTAGAATGGCAGGTCATGTACACAACACAAGTAACTCAAAAAGCCAAGAAGTATCATGATGGTTTCATAAGACTTGCTATTATCGGATCCCTACAGAGACAGGTTGATTTCCACCACTGCTTATTTCTTCCCAAGGCTGATTGCCTTGCTTGTTAATATCTAAGGAAACAACACTCTACTATCTATAAATTCTTCTTTTTATTATTAAAGTTCAGCGAGGTACCTACTTCTTGAGTCACTTCTTCATGAAATCTACCAGTCCTTTATTTCTTGATTACTGAAGCTACACATGTTTTATTTACTTTCTTGCTTGAATTCCTTGTAAAAGGAGGAATGCTGCTAATAATTTCTTTTTTGGGTATTTATTTAGGTCATGTTGTACGATGAAAGCAGGAAACTCTTAAATAGTAGGTTCCTCAAAAAGGATGAAAAAATAAGATCGGGCGAATCAATAGCATTTAATGCTCATTTAGTGGACATTGGGGAACCTCAAGCAGACCATCAATCGCAAATGGATTTGAATATTCAAGGAAACAATGGCAATATGGTTGGCACAACAGTGATAACCCATGGACAGCATGACGGTTTAAAAGCTGATAAATTTGTTGTAAAAGGTTAGATAGCATGAGCTCTTACTTGTCAAATTCTTGTGTTCCTTTTGTCTGTGAAGCAAGTTTCATCCCGTACTCTTAAACAGCTTGTGTTTCCATTTTAGTTAGCAGCTTTTCAAATTGTCATGGACCCTTAAATTTAGCCATGAGACAAGTTATTTTTCTGATGTTGGCCTGTAATGGTTACTGTACAAATGATGGGTCTTAATTTTTTCCATTGTTTGTACAGAGGATCTTATTTTACTCTGAAACTAGCCATATAGAATAATGCAAGTCAAGTTTATATTAGGCCCATAATGTCTAACAACAAACTATGAATTGTTACACTCGTATATAGCATTTTTACCATCTGGCTTTTTCTTTTTCTTTTTTTCCTAGCGGATATCTTCTCTTTCACTTGCAAGTTTGGTGTTTACTGTTGTATGTTTTACGACCTCATATTCTGATGGTTTTATTGATCTTGATCAAAACTTCAGGAAATAATTTGGCTTTGCTGTGCAGGAAAACCTCAAAATGATTCTTCAAGGGAGAATGCAGATTCAGCTTTTAGCATCTATAGTGTAGACGGAATCAAATTGAGCAAGAGTGCACCTACAAACAAACCGTTACGAAATGGTGTGTCCATTTTACCTGGTCTCATGAGATACCGTTTTGTTTAAATCTCAAGCATCATTTTCATTTAAAGTATTTAGGTTGTGTGTGTAATACGTCGTCACATATCTCAACCAAATAAATAAAAAATAAAAGACACGAAAAACTGTGCAGATCACAAAGTTCATAAGCTTTTTGTTTGTTTTATTGAAGGCCAATGCCGTTTGTCTACTGGCTACAAAGCAAATCTTTTAAAAGATTGTGATCATATACTGTACGGGAATATTATGTTTTTGTTTACTTGTAACTTTTGCATACCTTATCTGCATTTTTTATTGTTTTTGAAGAAATAGTAGAAAGAAACAAAGGGAAAAAGACAACTCGTTTGTTATGGCTCATGCACAATGAGGTGCTAGTGCCTTGTGCTTTTAGTTTTTTAAAATGCTTTTTATGTAATGATTTCTCAATTATATCCGGATGGGACGGAGGAATGTTTTGCAAATGTCCTATGTTGAAATGGTCAATAGCCGTCTGGTTCTGTAAACACGATTTCTTCACTCATCTTTATCAAACTTCAATTGCATTAAGTAGCCTTACCCTGTCCTTTAACAATTAGTGGTTCTGATCTTATATACTGCTGCTGCATAGATTTTGCCAGCAACTGTTGATGATAAGTATTTACATTTACAGCCATTCAGATTTTGTCCATTCTCCAAAAACCAAAGACTCCAGGAAGCACTGATGCTGGGTCGACTGGTAACAGCATTACGGGTCAATCTTCATCCACCAAAAGGCTTGAAGTTTCAGATAGTGTTATAAGTGTTTCGGATGATCGTGAATTACCAGTGCCGCATCATGAATCATACGGAAACATGGATAAAAGTAGATCAGTTGAAGACATGAACTTAGAGAATTGCCCCGATCTTATGTCTTCTAAAGGTACTTTACGCAGTATTAACTGCTGGGTATTCTACTTTTATCTCTTTTCTACATTCTAATTAAAAAGAATCTAACGCCAGTTGGATTTTGCAGCAACATCTACTAGTACCAGTAGTGGCAATCAAATCTCCAAGGACACTGAAATTGGAAACATAAACCAGGTTCAGCCTTCAGCTCTGTTTTTGTCTTTTACTTCTTCAGGTAGATTGTATTTAGTTTTTGAAACCTGTATTGTGCTGATTTGGGTTCCAAATTTGCTTTTTCTACAGGCCCATTTAGACGTCGAAACCTGCGTTTCCCATGGCCCTGGTGATGGTAAAAGAAATAGATCTGAAGAGCCTAAGAGCGAAAACGAAATAAAGGAATTCCCAAGTTTTGACCTTGGATTTTGATCAAGGGCTAATACATGTTGGATTTATATTGCTAATCTCTCCTAATTTGCATTCAAAATGCCAATCTTAATTGCCAAAAATTTCAATAAAAATCCCTGTAAATGTGAAATGAACAGCAGAAGATTGGATGCTCACGTGAGGAAAAAAAAAAAAAAAAAAAGCACTAGTGAAACACAATTCACTAGTTTACAAAAGATCACCAATAATAATAAAACTGAACTGAAACTACTACTCTTCTCCATCCTTTCAGTTTTCATCTAAGAATTTGTATAATGTGCCATCATCTTTTCTGGACTTGCGCAAGCTGAGTAAGGCCTTGAAGAGGCGTTTGCTTTTCCCAGAATTTTTCTCTAAATCTTTGCTCCTGTTTCTTTCAGCAAATGTAGATGATGAAACCGTTCTCCAATGCTCTGATGGATACTGGGAAATTAAAGGAATTTGCTTAAAAACTTAGCAAAGAGCAGTATATCAGTACTTAAAAAAAAAATTCTCTAGCCCATGTTCTTAGTTCTTACCCGCCGTTTGGCATGAGAATGGCTTGGAGAGGGAGATCTCTTAAGAAGAGACCCTGAACGAGCAAATGGAAAGTGAAGTGGAGAGGCTGCTCGTCTCTCTGATAATGTGTATTGCCGTCATTCAACAATCCTCAGACAAAAGTTGAATAAATAAATAAACAAAACAAACCCATTGGCACAAACCTGGCGTTTTGCTGCGTGAAATTCTTGTGAAAGAGAACGTTCCTTGTCTCGAGGAAGGCTGTGGAGATTGCAATGTGTACTGCACTTCTCTGCATCAGAGTTTAATGGCATTGAGAAATCAGCACAAACATGGTGAGAATAGAAACACTGCAGTGGCAAAAGATTACCTGAGATATGTTGAAGGGCTCTCTGTAGTTGTTACTCGAGCAGCTAGCAGAACAAACATTATCAGGTTTACATATTATACTCTTGATTCGAACAAAATTGAAGAGATCAATTACCAATTTTAAGCTGAGTTGAATCCTCTTCAGCACTCACGCTGCTGTTTTCACAGCTTGATGGGTTCTGGCCAAGGCCAAGATCATCAGTGGTCTCTTCATCTGCATCACCAGTTAAATTTACTGAAATATTCCCTTCATTTTGCTCAAAAAGTTCAAAAAGAGAAGAGCAGAGAAGGGTTATAATTGCCTGGGAAGATGTAACGTTTATGGTACTTGGGAGTTATTATCAGCAATGATTGCTGCGAAAGCCCTTCTCCATTGATAAACTCTTGGCATGACTTTAATCTCTATAAGTTGCAAGAAACAATTAATAGAACAAATTTAAAAAAGAGAAACTGTAAGATTTCTGAAAATCTTAAAACAATTTTATCTTTTACAAAAGAGTGAAAAGGTTCCAGCACCTGTTCCAGGCAAGTCAACCGGAGTCCTGTTTCAGAAGCTTCACCAATCTTTTCATCAAAAAGATTGTTGACTTTAAATGCTACGGAACCCAGGTGGTCCACAGTATTGATCAAAGCTTTGATGGCATAATCTTTCACACCCTCCACCAGTCTGAAAAAAAAAAAAAAAAAATGTCAACAAAAAGGATTTTAAAACTGAAAGAATCTGTAAGATTGTAGCTATAGAACTCACTTTCGTTTCTGGGCCTCTTTGCTGTAAGATATTTCAAAAAATTCTGCAGCCGAGTACAATTGTTTCCTCAAGTTCTTCAAATCCTAAAATCCAATGAATACCCATCTAGCTTAAATAGAATAGGAACACAAATACAATCACAGTTTGGGATATAAATAGAAACCAAAACAAGAACTTTTCTTAGAATAAACACTAAACACACCTTCAGAGTATCCGCAAAGTGAAAGCTCTGCTGCATGAAGAACTCATCATAGGTTGAAGATTTTTGAGGACCAGAAACTGAAGACGCTGAAGCCATATTCTCCTCTCTATGGAGTTTTTTTTTTTTTCTTTACTAAGACAAACTGGTGAGGAATAAAAGTACTAAGAACAAAACTGCAGAAGCCACATCACAGTGTTAAGATTCTATGGTTACTCAAATGCTTAAAAACTTTATTTGACTAAATTAATGGCCATTTATTTCTGGACAGTGAGATTATTTGGGGCTGGTTATGAAGATGTTTCATATTATTGGAGGGAGACAAGGATCAACAAGGGGACCATAATAATAAAGGTGGAAAAATCAGAAACGTCGCTTACTTCTGAAAGCAAAGTAACAACATTCAATTACTTTTTGCAAGCTGAAGAGAAAGAAAGAGATTGGGTTGGCTTCTCCACTACTGCGGAAGATGAAACAGCCTGAAATTCATAAAAATCAGCCACATGTCAGCCATGTTCTGGTTTTGCTTATTGTCAAAATGGGGACCTACCATTTTCTAAAACAAGTATTCATTGACGGGGGGAGAAGTTAAACAGTTATCTAACTTTCTGATTATTTTTCTGAGAGATTGAATTTGATAGATGGTAGAGTTGGTACCAAGCATGCAAATTCCCATGAATGAATTTAATGCATGCGTCTTATAACAACTAAATCCATTTCGTTTATATAATTTCTCATCAGTAACAATCATGACAGAGTTTACAAACTTAGCTGTAAGATTTAATGGCGTGACTTTAATGGAATACATATTACATACCCATCTCACACCTTCCAATTTCACTGTGCAATAAATTCTCAACGTCTAAGTCCATTACCTTTAAATAAATTATAAGCCTAACTCAATAATTAAAACTTAAAAGGGTTTTGTAACAGGGTCTCAGTGTCAGTAAAAAAAATTTTTCCCACCCAAGGTTTGCCTTAATAGCATTTTTTTCACCTAAAAAGTTTCAAAATATCATTTTCTCACCCAACATTTATATTTCGTTAATACCCAAAATATACTTCACTTTCTCAGGGGTGTTCAACGAGTTACTAGAAGCCAAGGTAGGAGGTTTTTTGTAGAGTGGAGGCTAGTAGATCAAATAGTGGTGGTCGATTGAATATTTATTGTCAGAATTAGCCGAAAATCAACTAAGAACAAAAAACCATAACTTTGCGGTGGTCGGCAATTGGTGAGAAATCAGGTGCTGGAGTGAGAGGGGTTTTATAGAGAGAAGACTATAAATTTAAATGGTGGCGACAGAGAAAATTTTCGTTTCCATATTCGGCTTTGGGTATTAACGAAATATTAACTTTGGGTGAGAAAGTGATATTTTTAAACTTTTTGGATGGGCAAGTGTCATTAAGGCAAACCTTGGGTGGGAAAAAATCGTTTACTTTAAAAATGACACCTTCCCACCCTTCGTTAGGTTATGTTATGTTTTCTGTTAATATTTTACTAAAAAGACAAAAATACCCTTAAATATTTGACTTTATAAATTTTTTATTATTTTTTAATTAGCTAAAAAGTCAAAAAAGAAAAAATAGTTAGCCTCACCTAAAAAGTTAGGAATAATGCTATGGAATTGTTTAAAGTTAAATGACTTTAATATTTATTTATTTATAATGTCATCTATATCTCATCACTATTATTTAATAATCTACTAAATTTATAATGTTTTTCATTTTTACCAATTAATATAGAAAATCAATATTCCTAATTAATTAAATAAACAAAGGAAAAAAAAATATCTTTACACTTAAACTAATAAATAATCGAGTAAAAATTTTGATTTAACTAAATTTTAATTTATAATAAACTAATAAGAAAGAAACTATTTAAAGGTATTTTTATCTTTTCAGTCAAATATTAACAGAAAATACTAACAAAACTTGACGAAGGGTGGAAAAGTATCATTTTAAAACTTGACGGGTGGAAAAGTGTCGTTTTACCAAACCTTAGGTGGGAAAATGTCGTTCTCACTTAAAAAAATTATGAAGTTGCCATGGATGGTGGTAATGTCCATAACACATGTGAAGTGTTAACTAAAACATCGGGCAAAGAGTCTTACTTTGAGGCTTGAGTTATGGTCATTGGAAAACTCTTTGCCCTTCCAATACGTCTCTGTAATTGAATAATACAGGGATCCATTAAAAGCTTAACTCAATTCCTCTGTTAACATTAAGAAAAAGGCAGCCAATAACATTTACTTAATTGTTTTTTAAAGCGGAGCAGGAAGAACGACATTTTAGTTGAATAAAGCAGTAGTTGAGGATTCATTATCAGACAGTTGAACTATTATATGATAATAAATTTGTGATTGACCAGCCCCTTTCAACATCGGCCATTAGGTAATTATTTGAGCTATAATGTCTTAGTCCAAAGGGTGATCGTGCCAAGATTGGCTCCTTTCACTTGGTTCACAAATCACAATGAAGATCTGTGATTGTGACACTTAATAAAGACTACGTGAAAACCTAACCCTTCTACTGCACATGTAATGACAGTAAATCTAGGAAAAGCGAAACCGCTATTTAGCAGTTGGACACATAATAAACTCACTGTATAAGAAAGAAGCATTGATAACAATAAAAGGGACNACTTAAAAAAATTATGAAGTTGCCATGGATGGTGGTGATGTCCATAACACATGTGAAGTGTTAACTAAAACATCGGGCAAAGAGTCTTACTTTGAGGCTTGAGTTATGGTCATTGGAAAACTCTTTGCCCTTCCAATACGTCTCTGTAATTGAATAATACAGGGATCCATTAAAAGCTTAACTCAATTCCTCTGTTAACATTAAGAAAAAGGCAGCCAATAACATTTACTTAATTGTTTTTTAAAGCGGAGCAGGAAGAACGACATTTTAGTTGAATAAAGCAGTAGTTGAGGATTCATTATCAGACAGTTGAACTATTATATGATAATAAATTTGTGATTGACCAGCCCCTTTCAACATCGGCCATTAGGTCATTATTTGAGCTATAATGTCTTAGTCAAAAGTGTGATCGTGCCAAGTTTGGTTCCATTCTCTTGGTTCACAAATCACAATGAAGATCTGTGATTGTGACACTTATAAGACTACGTGAAAACCTAACCCTTCTATTGCACATGTAATGACAGTAAATCTAGGAAAAGCGAAACCGCTATTTAGCAGTTGGACACATAATAAACTCACTGTATAAGAAAGAAGCATTGATAACAATAAAAGGGACAATAATGCTAGTTTCTACAGTCTTCTCTCATAACCCCCAACCTAATAATTCGTCAGTGATTAGCTTGTAAATGAGTAGACGAGACTTATACAAAAAGACAGAACCTATTTTACGAGTTGACCAATAACGAATTGTTACGTCAGAGATTGTGCAAAAAAAGTTATGAGATTGGATCGTGAACCTAGCATTACTCACAAAAGAGATAAAGAAGCTTCGCTAAAATGGGATCATGTTGAATGGATCAAGTGTACAAAGGAAAGTTAACAAATAAAAGTACAAAAATAAACAACAATTTTAAGTTTTATACCAAATGGGTGTAAGTAATAAATTTTCAATAACAGTTCTAGCAACAGCTTGCAGTGCTGAAAATAGAGACACAAGCAACCTTGCAGCAATTTTGTTTACACGATCCTCTCCAACTCTCTTGCATAACTGAGTGTCTGGTTAATGAGTTGCAGAGATGGGATCTCCTTGCAAGGTACAGATTCTTTTGCCTTCTGGAAGAACACGGATCCATTCTTTATCTCCCACTCAGGATGCTCCTGCATATTCAAGCAAACATATGTAGATCAGGAAAAATAGGATCTTTTATATCTTAGTAATGAAGACAAATTCACAACTTGTTCTGTTTTGGCTTTTTATTTTTATTTTTTAATTTTTATTCTGGCACATTGTAAAACACACAGAACCACAACATATATATTCACACATAGGCCACTAAATGAGATATGATAAAATAATTTACCTCCTCAATATATTGCAAAAGTTCTTTGTCAGAAGTGTACAGCAACATTTGGCGGGCATCCTTAAGTGAAAGGTAATCGTATGCCTTCTCACTACATCCAGCTATCTCATCTCTATAAGTTACAGAAAAGGGAAAAAAAAAAAAAAAAAAAAACAAATGAGTACTTGGAAACAAACACACGACGGAGTAGATGAAAACATTATGCAGAGATTAAATTCTAAAAAATGCAATTCAGAATGATTTGGATACTCAAGTTACAATCAAAACACAATCTGACAGGTCATCACTAAATCCAAATCTCATTCCTAGATGTAAAAACCTCCAAATTCCTACTTGCAGCTACTTGTTATGAGTATTTTCTATTCATCAAACCATACAAATTAACTGAAGTCAAAAAATTTACCTCACTGTCTTTGCTAGGAGATCCATGAAATAACCATAAGTTTCATTAGGTACATTCTGTTTGGCACTCAAGACACGGTTATAAGCCCCTTCCATAAAGGATTGCTCTAACTCCACGGCATGCTTGATGCAAGGGTTCTCCAAAGCAGTAGAAGAAAGCAATTCCAGTTCAGTATGGAATTCAGCAATTCTGTTTTGCACTAAAAGTCTCAACAGGTTAAGACCCAAGATCATGTACTCATTTGGGGATGGTGGAAGACGACTACTGCTCCATCAAAAGAAAAGCAAGTCATTAACATCATCTTTAGGAAAGAGCAAACAAAAAAGTAGGTAGGAATACACCTCAGCAACTAATTAGCAAAATTGGTAAAATCAGTAGCAGGCAACTTTTATACCATATGTATTCTCCTAACTTTTCCCTCATTTATGAAGTGCATAAGTACCAAAGAATCAGATTAATTTGCAACCTTACAGAACTTGCACCACATAAACAAGGCTTCCACAAAATAGGGGTTTAGTTGAAAGAATTAGATTAATTTACCCAGCGTCAGTATAATAAGGCTTCAATTGAAAGAAATCCCTCTCAAATGCATCTTGATCCTCAATCTTTACACTCAAGAGAACAGCGTGCTCATAAATATCCCCTGGACATCAAAAGTAACAAGAACATCATAAGTGGAAAAGCCTTCACTATAATCGTTAGAAAAGGAAGAACATTGTACTTATTGTATTGGATGCATATAACATAATCATTTCTATTCTCGCATCAATTTGATCCCATGTTTCATTCCTCTGACCAGGCTCAAACTTTTAAAGCACATGTAACATTCTACTTTCAGATAGCAAAAAAACCATTCAATAAATATGGTTCCATATCAGTTTTCAATATTTATTGAGTCAATAATACTTCCTTCTCCAAACTCGTGTCTTAATGTTCTTGATGGCATAATGTCTCAAAGATTCAAATTTCATCCTTTAATTGATAATTGGACAGAATAGTCTACAGAAGATAAAAATACAAATCAACTAACGAAACCATTACGAATTGACTTGAGTCAAGTACATTACTTGCTAATGTCAACTCGTGAATTGAGTTAGGTGTATTTTCAAATAATGGCGGAAGGCTTCTGAAGGAGGTCAGCAAAACCTACAAAAAATGAAAACCAAGACAGCTAATGTTACACACCAATAGCAAAATCCAATAAGCAGCATATTAACCACAAAAATGCTTCAGACCTCATAATACGCTCCTCACATATCACATTTGCACCCATAAATAGGCCATAGCGAGAGACTCAACTCTATCAAAGCCCAAAATTGTAGAGCCCAAACACAACACTCACTGTTTCAAGCTAAGAAAATTACATAATCCTAACTTATAAACATTGAGAAATGACTACTATAAGCGGACATACATCTATACCTATTGAGAGCTTGTAACATGAAAATGTAAGCTTGTATCGAACTCCTTCTGTGTTCAATATGACAAGTCTTGCATGCGATGTTAAAAATTCTACATTGCTTCAAAATGTCCAGCATCTATACTGGGAAACAAAAAAAGATATCCCAGTATAGGAGAACCTAGAAGTATCAACTTATAGTATCTCTAAATCAGAAACACATTAATCTTTAAAAAAAAAAAAAAAAAAAAAAAATCCATAATTGGGGCACAAATATCCAGCACCATAACAATTCTAAGACAATCCAAAAATCAAACACATCAATTAAACCCTAAACTCAACACATCAGACTCCCAGTCTAACTTCACCGATCCGAAACACCGATTTACAAAGAAAACCCACAAAACACAAACCATTTCCTATTTCATCATCGAAACAAAGATAAAATGAAGGATACATTATTTCGTAGAGCGATAATTTAGGGCAAGACAATAACCAACCTTGAGATGAGAAAGGAGTTCGGTACACGAGTCGTAGTCTTTTCTGGTGATTGCAGCTTTGAAGCGTTCGAATAGCTGAGAAACTTCTGTGAGTTTTGGATCCATCTCTCTTTATTTCTCGGCAGTCTTCGCTTTCTGTGCTCGTTTGTGTTCTGTATCGTCTTCGCTTTGGCTTGGTTTCGAAGAAAGAATTTCAGATTTATAAGGGTTTTGAGGGAGGGCTTGGGTTTGGGCCCTTAAAACCAGGGCTCAAAAGGCCGCTCTGTATTTTTGGGCCTTGTCTCTTCCTATATTTCAGTCAGGCCCAAATTGGAATAAAATACTTAAAGGTGGATGGGGGATCTAACATGCGCCGGAGTGCATAGTGCACACCCTCCTTATCCACATTTCCCAATTTCATTACCCGGACCTTCCCTCAGCTCCAAGCAGAAGTAAAACAATGGCGACCTCTTCACTGTCACTACCATCAACTCTCACCCCTCATTCAAAATCCCCAATTTACCCTCATTGTTTCAATCAATCCCTATCTCCACCCCTCCTCTCCTTCACTCGCACTCTCAAACCCTTCCCTGCAAAACCAAAATCGGTCATTCTTACCAACGGCAACTCGGTTACTTTAACCGTCAAAGCCCAAACCCTTGACTTCTCGGGCTCATTTTTCGAAGGTGGTGGGTTCGGGTCAGATGATGATCCGACATCCGTGCCACCCGGGTCGGTTGGAACTGCGACCGCTGTTGAGGAGAAAGAGGAGCCCCAATGCCCACCTGGGTTAAGACAGTATGAGACGATGGTGGTGTTGAGACCCGACATGTCTGAAGATGAAAGACTGGCTCTTACACAGAAGTACGAGGAGGTAATAATACGTTACTACTTACTGGCACATTGTAAAACACACAGAACCACAACATATATATTCACACATAGGCCACTAAATGAGATATGATAAAATAATTTACCTCCTCAATATATTGCAAAAGTTCTTTGTCAGAAGTGTACAGCAACATTTGGCGGGCATCCTTAAGTGAAAGGTAATCGTATGCCTTCTCACTACATCCAGCTATCTCATCTCTATAAGTTACAGAAAAGGGAAAAAAAAAAAAAAAAAAAAACAAATGAGTACTTGGAAACAAACACACGACGGAGTAGATGAAAACATTATGCAGAGATTAAATTCTAAAAAATGCAATTCAGAATGATTTGGATACTCAAGTTACAATCAAAACACAATCTGACAGGTCATCACTAAATCCAAATCTCATTCCTAGATGTAAAAACCTCCAAATTCCTACTTGCAGCTACTTGTTATGAGTATTTTCTATTCATCAAACCATACAAATTAACTGAAGTCAAAAAATTTACCTCACTGTCTTTGCTAGGAGATCCATGAAATAACCATAAGTTTCATTAGGTACATTCTGTTTGGCACTCAAGACACGGTTATAAGCCCCTTCCATAAAGGATTGCTCTAACTCCACGGCATGCTTGATGCAAGGGTTCTCCAAAGCAGTAGAAGAAAGCAATTCCAGTTCAGTATGGAATTCAGCAATTCTGTTTTGCACTAAAAGTCTCAACAGGTTAAGACCCAAGATCATGTACTCATTTGGGGATGGTGGAAGACGACTACTGCTCCATCAAAAGAAAAGCAAGTCATTAACATCATCTTTAGGAAAGAGCAAACAAAAAAGTAGGTAGGAATACACCTCAGCAACTAATTAGCAAAATTGGTAAAATCAGTAGCAGGCAACTTTTATACCATATGTATTCTCCTAACTTTTCCCTCATTTATGAAGTGCATAAGTACCAAAGAATCAGATTAATTTGCAACCTTACAGAACTTGCACCACATAAACAAGGCTTCCACAAAATAGGGGTTTAGTTGAAAGAATTAGATTAATTTACCCAGCGTCAGTATAATAAGGCTTCAATTGAAAGAAATCCCTCTCAAATGCATCTTGATCCTCAATCTTTACACTCAAGAGAACAGCGTGCTCATAAATATCCCCTGGACATCAAAAGTAACAAGAACATCATAAGTGGAAAAGCCTTCACTATAATCGTTAGAAAAGGAAGAACATTGTACTTATTGTATTGGATGCATATAACATAATCATTTCTATTCTCGCATCAATTTGATCCCATGTTTCATTCCTCTGACCAGGCTCAAACTTTTAAAGCACATGTAACATTCTACTTTCAGATAGCAAAAAAACCATTCAATAAATATGGTTCCATATCAGTTTTCAATATTTATTGAGTCAATAATACTTCCTTCTCCAAACTCGTGTCTTAATGTTCTTGATGGCATAATGTCTCAAAGATTCAAATTTCATCCTTTAATTGATAATTGGACAGAATAGTCTACAGAAGATAAAAATACAAATCAACTAACGAAACCATTACGAATTGACTTGAGTCAAGTACATTACTTGCTAATGTCAACTCGTGAATTGAGTTAGGTGTATTTTCAAATAATGGCGGAAGGCTTCTGAAGGAGGTCAGCAAAACCTACAAAAAATGAAAACCAAGACAGCTAATGTTACACACCAATAGCAAAATCCAATAAGCAGCATATTAACCACAAAAATGCTTCAGACCTCATAATACGCTCCTCACATATCACATTTGCACCCATAAATAGGCCATAGCGAGAGACTCAACTCTATCAAAGCCCAAAATTGTAGAGCCCAAACACAACACTCACTGTTTCAAGCTAAGAAAATTACATAATCCTAACTTATAAACATTGAGAAATGACTACTATAAGCGGACATACATCTATACCTATTGAGAGCTTGTAACATGAAAATGTAAGCTTGTATCGAACTCCTTCTGTGTTCAATATGACAAGTCTTGCATGCGATGTTAAAAATTCTACATTGCTTCAAAATGTCCAGCATCTATACTGGGAAACAAAAAAAGATATCCCAGTATAGGAGAACCTAGAAGTATCAACTTATAGTATCTCTAAATCAGAAACACATTAATCTTTAAAAAAAAAAAAAAAAAAAAAAAATCCATAATTGGGGCACAAATATCCAGCACCATAACAATTCTAAGACAATCCAAAAATCAAACACATCAATTAAACCCTAAACTCAACACATCAGACTCCCAGTCTAACTTCACCGATCCGAAACACCGATTTACAAAGAAAACCCACAAAACACAAACCATTTCCTATTTCATCATCGAAACAAAGATAAAATGAAGGATACATTATTTCGTAGAGCGATAATTTAGGGCAAGACAATAACCAACCTTGAGATGAGAAAGGAGTTCGGTACACGAGTCGTAGTCTTTTCTGGTGATTGCAGCTTTGAAGCGTTCGAATAGCTGAGAAACTTCTGTGAGTTTTGGATCCATCTCTCTTTATTTCTCGGCAGTCTTCGCTTTCTGTGCTCGTTTGTGTTCTGTATCGTCTTCGCTTTGGCTTGGTTTCGAAGAAAGAATTTCAGATTTATAAGGGTTTTGAGGGAGGGCTTGGGTTTGGGCCCTTAAAACCAGGGCTCAAAAGGCCGCTCTGTATTTTTGGGCCTTGTCTCTTCCTATATTTCAGTCAGGCCCAAATTGGAATAAAATACTTAAAGGTGGATGGGGGATCTAACATGCGCCGGAGTGCATAGTGCACACCCTCCTTATCCACATTTCCCAATTTCATTACCCGGACCTTCCCTCAGCTCCAAGCAGAAGTAAAACAATGGCGACCTCTTCACTGTCACTACCATCAACTCTCACCCCTCATTCAAAATCCCCAATTTACCCTCATTGTTTCAATCAATCCCTATCTCCACCCCTCCTCTCCTTCACTCGCACTCTCAAACCCTTCCCTGCAAAACCAAAATCGGTCATTCTTACCAACGGCAACTCGGTTACTTTAACCGTCAAAGCCCAAACCCTTGACTTCTCGGGCTCATTTTTCGAAGGTGGTGGGTTCGGGTCAGATGATGATCCGACATCCGTGCCACCCGGGTCGGTTGGAACTGCGACCGCTGTTGAGGAGAAAGAGGAGCCCCAATGCCCACCTGGGTTAAGACAGTATGAGACGATGGTGGTGTTGAGACCCGACATGTCTGAAGATGAAAGACTGGCTCTTACACAGAAGTACGAGGAGGTAATAATACGTTATATTCATCCTCCTGTTCTTGCTAAATTTATAGTTAAAATGAAATAAATTGTGAAGGTAATAATACGTAATACTTATCCTCCTGTTCTTGCTAAATTTATGGTTGAAATGAAGTAAATTGTGACAAACAAAAGCCATAATTGTTATATGGAGGCACAAACGTTATGTAAAACCATGGGAATTTGTATTAAATCTTGGTTAGAACTCAGAAAACGCTATGTTGCAGGCCTAAAACTGTATTGCATTGCTAGCAATATGTTTCCTTGAGTTGATTTAATCTAATTCAAAGTTCAATATTTTCTGGCAATTAACCGCCCCTGGGTGGCTGGGTGGCACGATAGATACTCTTGGGTGTATTAGTAAAGAGGTCTTGAGTTCGATTTTTCTCGGTTGCTAATAGGGATGACCACTGGAGGGTATATCCTGTTGTTAACTTCAGAACTCAGTAGATTAATTGAGTAGTTGAGGTGCGCGCAAACTAGTTAGGTGCCTCTAGTGACCAAAATAAAAAAAGAATTTCTGGCGATTAAATTCATTGGTTTATAATTCAATTTATTTCATGTGGAATGTTGCTTGAGATATTTTCATTAGAGAGGGCTTGAGGTCTGCTGTGTGAATCACCTTCCCTTGGTGCTTTAGGAAATTCAGTTGAAATTCTTATGTGACTGTGATATGTAAATATATTTAGAATGAGATTAAATCATTCAATTGAAGAACTGTATATTTTGCATAAACTGGCATTGCGACCTTTATATTTTTCCTAATTTTATTATATATGGGGTTAAGCCTTGAACACTTGGTCTAGATATGTTTGTATAATGTGAAACTGAAGGAGCATTGCAGTTGTAATCGAGTTTCATGAAATTTCATGTGCCATTTCATTGCAAGTTTTCTTTAGGTTTTACTAATAGTGGTGTTTTTGCAGTTGCTTGTTGCTGGAGGCGGCATGTATGTCGAGGTATTCAATAGAGGGGTAATTCCATTAGCTTACAGCATAAAGAAGAGAAACAAAGCTGGGGAGAGCAATACTTACTTGGATGGTATCTACCTTCTCTTCACCTACTTCACTAAACCTGAGTCTATGAAAGCTCTTGAGGTGACATTGAACACTGATGATGATGTTGTCCGAGCATCCAGTTTTAAAGTTAGGAAGCAGAAGCGTTAGGTTATTTTGGATCCTGTGTATAAGAAAAGATTCAATTCGGCAATGTAATCTTGTATGTTATGAATCCTTTTTGTTCCCAGAGTATTTGAATTCCATTTGTTTTCTCAATTACAAAATTGGATCGGTGCTAATAGAATACAAATATTCGGTTTATTAAAGTTGCATACAGTAAACATTTTCTGGAACTTTTATCTATTATTCAGCTTGTAGAACCAAAATGCAAGCCCATCTTTACTAAAACTCAAAAGGGTGACAGTGACCATTGTTGGGAATTTGGGATGGAGTAGCTTCGTTGTATCATCTGAAGAGTAATGCTACGGAAACCGAAATTTTACACTGAATTTTTGTACCAAAGGACATGACAACCAGTTAGACGCGACATGTTGGAGTCTTTCGTGAATGATTGACCGTCCAACATTTATGGACGTCTGCCATTTACTATCCAAATTTTTTTTAAAGAAAATAGGTGTCTATTTACTATGGACGGGCGTCCATCATTGTCGAACAAATTTTAAAAATTTTTATATTCAGTGGACATACATCCTTTTTAATGGACATGTGTCCATTGTTTAATTTAAGATTAAATATTCATTTTTAAAGTATAAAATTTTTGGATGAAATAAAAGAAAAAAAAAATTGATTTTAAGTAAAAGTATGGACGCGCAGTTGGACATTGTTTGAGCATTTCATCTAAAAAAAATTTGAAAATTAAAAAAATAAAATTTTATAATGGATGGCCATTCTCAAATTTTTTATTTATTTTTTAATTTCATTTATAAACAAAATGCAAAGCAAAAGAGAAATGAAACTTGTTTTGGGAGGCCTAAATTTTTAAACATTTTAATTGAAAATTTAAAAGAATTTTTTTTTATTAAACTAAAATTTGTTAATATTAAAAGATGGACGCCCATCCTCTTATGAGGACGACCGTCCATAACTATGGATAGTCGTCCTCATAAGAGGACATGCGCCCATAAACAATTTAGGTCAATTTTTTTTAGTTTAAACTATAAACAGGCATCCGTTCTAGGTGGACGGTTGTTCATATAATATGGACGGGAGTCCATTTCAAATGAACGGTCGTCCAATAACAATGGACAGTCGTCCATATTTGATGGATGGCCGTTCATTCGCGGAATATTTGTTAATGTGATACGTGGCTCGTCTGATTCAGTGGACACGTCTTTTAGTGTAAAAATTCGGTGGAAAGCATTGGTGTCCGTAGCATTTTTCATCATCTGTATTGGTTTCCTTAGACATGGTCGGCAAATTTCATTTTATGAGAGTACTTGTCTACAATTTTAATGTGATCTTTCTAATAGTTGAGTTCATAATAATCTGAACTTTTCATGGATTTTAGAAGATGAGTCATAATATACAATTATACATCAAGCCTGGACAGTAGAATCCGATGAGAATTATAATTATTAGAACTTTTATTCCTTTCTTTGTCTCTGTTCTAGTATGGCTTTTGTCAAGTTTGATCCTTCTCCAGTGATTGTATAGTCAATAAATCTACTTTTGAGTCTTCTGAAGTTAATAAATACCAGTAATTGTGTTAGGATCCCACATTGGAAGGGAAAAGGGTAGACATGTGGGTTATAAGAGTTTGGGCACCCTTCCTTGGCAAGCCGGTTTTCTAATGAGAGTTCTACCTAAGCCCATGAAAGACTTATGACCCAGCCCAATTATTGAGTTATTGGATTGGGTTCCTATCAATTGGTATCAGAGTATGATCGTATGCCTACGTGGTAGTGCACGTGTGGTAAGTGACCTTGGGCCCGGGCTACTACCCCGAGAAAGGGCATGGAGGCTCGAGGGAAAGGGGATCCGTGTAGTCACCCGTTGCAGAAGCGTGGTGGAATGTTAGGATCTTGTATTGGAAGGAAAAATGGTAGGCATGTGGGTTATAAGGGCTTAGACACCCTCCCTTGGCAAGCCCGTTTTCCAATGAGAATTCTACCCAAGTCCATAAAAGACTCATGGCTGAGCCCAATTATTGAGTTATTGGAGTGGGTTCCTATCAAATTGATAGTCCTGTATCTTGATCTGGTGACTGGTGGGTTGGCTAAGACAGATACATGTCATAGTCCACTACAATACAGGATCCTGCTTCCAAATGTCATCCATAATAGTAACCTGAAAGAACTCTCAAATCTCTATCCAATGCCAAATTTTGATTTTGATAAGATTCTTGATCTTCCCGTGTGAGCACTAATCATAAACTACTAGCATTTAGTTATTGCTGGATGATGAAAGTGTCCTGGTGTCACCATCTGCCAATGAAACTAAAGTAACTGTTATACAGTAAAAAGCATGCTGGGTAGGATTTTAGTCGCCATGTAATAATTTTGGAGTCAATTTTTATTCTTCAGCTGCCGAATTCTGGGCATTACTAGGAATAAAAAAGTGGGTGCATTTTGTTGCATTAAAAAAATGCGTGAAACACAACATTAACACTGTATTTTATATTTAGAGAATCTGATATAGTGGTGCAGTCTGAGATCTTATCTTATACCCACTATGTGTGAGAGAGCTATCTTCTTGATCCACCAGCAGCAGTGAGATTTGCTCAATCCAATTAAAACGACATTCCAAAATCACACTGCTTCCTAAAAAAAAAAAATGAAAAAGAGGACTATGCAGAATTATAAAATAAATGATATTCATTAAATAGTATAGAAAAGTGAAGAAAAGTAATGCAGGTGGATCTCAAACAATGGTAATGAAGACATTGTTAAACTAGATATTTTTGGCTTGCTTACTCCATTGATTGGTCTAATTAAAAGCTGAGTTCTGATAAAACAAGACACTTTGCTCATTTGCTGCAGATAGCTGCTTGCATAGCACCTTAGACTTTATTTCACATGGTTCATGAAAACTGACTTAACCTGATGCAGGAATTTCTTTTAAAAAAGTTGCTGAAGCATCAATCATCCTTAGTTTTTGGTTGACAGAAACTATTAAGGATGTGAGATGGATGGTGGAGATTATGCAGAAAGCTCAAACTCAAAATCAACCTAAAGTGATTTGTCATTCTTAGTAAAGATTTATTGTCTAGACTTAAAAACAGAAAGTTTATGTAATGATAAAAAGCTCAAAGCAAAAACATCATCTTTTGTGTAATGTATGAAAAAGAATCCACCATTCTTTCATTTTCAAGAAGAACAAGTTCTTTGAATTTTATAAGTTCAGAGAAAAAGAGCAGAATTGGCTTTAATAAATACTTTAAGCTATATGGAAGGCCTATCTTTTCCATCTCTTTCTCCCAAGAGTCAAGACCATACAAACAATAATTAAAAAAAAAACAAAAAAAGAGCAGGTGGTTTTACAATGTTATGACTAATCAAAATCATTTGTTATGGTAGGTTAACCTCATGTTCATTGAGAATCATGCAGGCCTAACTGTTGAACCTAAATAATCAAATCAATCTACCTATAAGTTAGAAACTTGTCAGTTAAAATTAAAATTGAGTAAATCCCACTTCGCAAATTCCATAATTATACCAATTTGAAAGTGTTAGGTCATTGACCTGCCAACAATGTATGAAACTAATATCTCACTTGAACAAGAACAACCTTATCTTAGAAGATTAATTTACTGTTGCAGGTGGAGTAGTGATCAAACTTTTTTTTAAGCAAGAGATAAGATTGCGGAAGTTGGATGATTAGCAATTGATATAGCTAACCATTTACCAAACAGAAACAAACATATAAACCAAACCCTGTCATTTTTACTTCTGATTTTATTAAAATTTCAGCAATTCTATCTCTTTGTCTACACATGAAATGCATCATAATAGAGCTTGGTGCTTGGTGCTTGGGTCCATAGTCTAGTGGGGAGTCTCCAGCTTGTCCCATCATCGAAAAAGGAAGAATATATACCTTATTGTAAATCTGATCTCAAAAGCTCATTGTAGACCTCTTTATCATTACAAAATTTTGCATTATTTGTCCTTTTTCCAAGCTAAAAGCAATCTTTTAACTATACTATTATTTCTGTGTCTCCCACTGCAACACCTCTCCATAAATACACTCAACAAGGCCTTGGTGCCTCTACTATCTTGATTTTCAATTCTTGGAGAGTAAATCTGTCAGGTTTTTTGAAGTTTTGAGAACTTGGATTGATGGGGATGCCTCAAAGTCCAACTACTACTCCTCATCTGTATCCTCAAGCCCTGCAACTTAAACTTTACCAGGCTTTCATTTTCTCAATTCCTATACTCTTCTCCATTATTCTCTTCTTGTTATTTTACTTGTTCTACCTGAAGAGAAGGGCTTCCAGTCTCTCCTCAGCTCCAATACTTCCAACAAGTTCTAATCAGGCTTCTCCATTTATCCATGACCATCTTGTAAGACTTCTCTCTCTTCCAAAAACACATGCACAAACACAAAGAATAGTGAAAGCATCAAGTTTTTTATGTTCATCATGTATATCTAATCCTATGTTTTCCTGGTATAATTTTTATAGCCTTGTCAGATGGGTTGGGATGGGGAGATCCAAGGCAAGCTTCCAATTATTTTATTTGATGAAGAACTAAGGAAAAGGGATTCACAGTAAGTATAAATTTCTATTTCTCATTTCAAATCTCTCTCTCAATAATTTACCAGACATCAATGTGGTCTATATGCAGCATGCCCTACAACATGTGCCCACATGCTTGTGTTAAATCAGGTCCTTGAATACTGTTGACAAGATCATTTCAATGAAAAAAAAAAATGACGGTAAAATCGACTCCTAAAAATGTTTCTTTTCATTAACACTTGAGGCCTCAGATAAAGACACACTCCTCCAATCTCCCTAAAGCCATGCATAGTTATAAGCCACCTGTCCCTGGGTGGTACTAGGCCAGAATTCTATTTGTTTTTCACTTTGTCTGTGACAATCTCTATTACCATCCACTAATTCTCTCCAAAGGTGCTTTTTGAAACGTTTGAGCATTTGGGTTTAAGCAGAATTTATGGCTCTTGAGAACTACCAGAACACATAAATCATGAGTATAAGTTCTTCGCTTTGAAGCCGCTTGTAAGATACTTTATAAATATGGGTCTGTATAATTCAATTCCATCGTCGCCTGCAACTAGGGTCTTGTAAACAGTGTGTTACTGTTAAATTAATTAATTGCCAAAGATCAAGTTTCAAAGTTAGTTGAACAAACAACCTTTTAAAAATCCCTTAGAATAATGCCTTATTACCTTGTCAACAGTTTCAGCTTCTTGATGGGTTATTTTACTTTAGCTTAATTAGTTGGCTGCTCTGATTGATTGGGAAGTTAACTGAACTAACTGTTGAAATTCTTGAAAAGTGGGGATTCTGGTCATGACTTGTTTGTTTACTTTGAAACTAAAAGCGAGAGCTTTGAGAGCTCCGTTGATTGAATTATTTACTACATCAATATTTTCTGATTGTGTATGAATGCTTTAGACAAGTTGAACCTAATTAAAACTATCGAAATCTTGTACAGGTGCTGTGTCTGTCTGGGTGAATTCGAGATGAAAGAGGAGTTGCTCCAAGTTCCATTATGCAAACATGTGTTTCATATTGAATGCATACATCACTGGCTTCATTCAAACACAACTTGTCCACTTTGTAGATGCTCAGTCATCCCTGTTACCAAGCTCTCCAATCCAGCGACCCCTAGTGAATCCGAATCACAACAACGAGAAGGCGCTAACTCCAACGATAATCAACCGAACATTCAATCAGAACAACAACAACAACAACAACAGCAACAACAATTAGATGGTGATGATGGTAGCTCAGATATTGCTAATGCATGTAGAGATCAGCTAGTTATACGAATTGAAGGCTCATCAAGTGCAAGTACTTCTCTAAATAGCTCTGGAAGATTGTCTGAGTAGAATTCATCTAATCAAGAATCGGTAGTTTTCCCCGGCAAGAGTACAAATTCATGAATGTTGAACCAAATTATGCCTAGAACTCAAGTAGGAATGAAAGATGGACTAGGATATACAAAATTTTTGCACCATAAATCTGAATGCATAATATTCTTTAAGCTATATCAATTAATATCAAGCTTTCTGAAGGCACATTCATCGGAGGACATTAATGGACTAGTAAGAGTAATGAGAGTAATGAGATTTTTCATAATGTGGCAGCATTACTTTTATCTGCTTCTCTGTAGCACCCAACCCAGCTGGTAATTATACAATCTTTTATCAGAATATATGTATAGTCAACAATATATAATATTGTTAATCGATAAATACCACACAGAGTTCCAATGATTATTTCTAAAGGATAAATTTTTGCAGCATGGAAAGTAAAAAAGTAAGCAAAATACAAAAGGAAGCCTTTAATATTGTCACTAAAAAATGTGAGAAGCTGCTGCATAAAGAGCCCCTGCTAGAAATGTTGAAATAAGAGTAATTTTGGTAGGCATTTTCCCTTTGTCACTTCTCAGGAACATGGCTTCATAAACTGGCAAGCAATTCACCATGAGAAAACCTGCTAAAAACATCTGCAAAAACAATCCTTCCATATTGTTTCCACTCATGATGTCTAAGAACCCTTTAAAGAATGAGAATAAGTTGATTATTGCTGAGGTTGCCAGTGTCACAAACATGGGTGATGGTACTCCAAACTCAAAGATTTCTTGCTCATATCTCTTGCTTTGCTCATCATCAAGTACTTTGCTGGTCACGTTGAAACTGCGTGCAGAAATACCAAAGCTCTGGAGTAAGTACTCAATGGACCCGAAAAGGAAACATGTTAGTCCCTTTCATCCAAATCCTCTGATCATTCCACCATTTGAAGGTTGAACCTTCTAATATAAACTCTAGGCACTCTTTTGCATAGGCTCCAATGAATAGAAATGTATAAGAGAAACCATGGTTCAGAAACCTGCAGGACATTTTTCATTAGTTAATCATGATAATTATTAGTTAATGAATGATCATTTAGCAAATGTAGGTGGATAAATACCTTTGGGAAGATACTGACTCTGAGGAGAGCCAGCTGGGGGAGAAAGCATACACAGTGATGGGAATGGCCCAAAAGGGCCAGCATGAATAATGAGCATAAGATAGACCATAAGGCCATTCTGCGGATACCAAAGGTTAATACTATATTTTGAAAAGGTCACCTCAAGTAGACCAATGACCCATCGCTGTTTTGATTATCAAATCAACAAGGGCTATTGGTGCATCCCCATAAAATGCTGGCCTCTCAGGATGCAAAATATTGACCTCCATCGTCACAATGCACCAGTACCTGTGTAGTAGTCCTCAACCAAGACCCATATCGAAAACCCATCTGTCCATTTGAACCAAATCCAGAAGATTTAATCATCAATGCTTTGATAAAAGAAAACTTAGTGAATGAAATGAAATACTAACCTTGCATCCCCAGTGGTTGGTTTCATAATTGCAGCCTGCTACCTGGTGAGCCAATGACAGAATGGAAGGGGATTTGAGGGGTTTATCCACAGCATGGTTTGGATGGAGTTGAGGGATTTCAGGTGACATAAAAGTGAAGGATCACCAAAGAACGCTCGTCGACAGAAAAAGGTCCAGTTCCAACATAAGTAGGACCCTTAACCCATCGAACCCAGAAATTAATTTCAAACACACGTTTGATCCACTAGCATACATGTCATTCTTGTTAAGTCCCGAAAAACGTGAGGAAACTGAATGTACGCAAGTCGGATCGAGTTGCAGAATCACAACATAACATAGCACACGGAGAGGTGTTTTGGGATCATTTGAGTACATGTCACATCAAGCGTCACAGACTATTGGGGGCATTGGTATAACAGTGATAACTCGCAGCTGCAACCCAACCATTAAGAAACTTTCAGAATTGACAAATCCAGTACCTGAAAATTCTCACTGCTTAATAAAATTATTTGTGTTTATGTATATATTTACATTTAACATACCAGGGTGTTGAGGGCACCAGCTTTGAAATTGTGGCGTGAAGTCTTGCTTTTCTGTCTGGATACATAGATGAGGTTGGGCAACAAATTGCCAGTGATGTCTCTGTCTTTGATATTCTCTAATAAGACCTATTCATAGTTAAATGTGTGAGAACAAAATTTAAGGTCTGGATATACATGGGTGATTTTTGAGCTTGAAAAATTGACAAGGTTGAATGCAAATGAACCTGAATAACAGTGGGATGATCTTGGCGGGTAAATCCATCAGTCCATTTACTGAAAGCCTCACGTTCTTCATCTCCATTGACGTTCTCATCGCTTACATTCCCAGTTTCAACAACATGTTCTACTCTGGATTTCATGCTTTCATACAAAGCCTGTTACATGATCAAGGACTGAAGGTCATTAATTTGAAGAAGCTGATTATTGCTAATTATATATACCTATAAAGCTTATGGTACGTTTACAAGTCCTAAAACACTTATAAACATGAGTGGACAAGGAATTACAAGTCCTAAAACACTTGCTAATTTGGTTGAATCAAAAAGTTTCATTCCAAGTCCTAAAACACTTGGATTGTGGAATGGGGAAAACGATGGAGGAAATTCGGCCCAAGCAAGTTCCAAGGGGGGAGAGAGCCCAAGCATTTCTGCCCAAATCATTCCAAATCCAAGCCCAACAAAGGAAGCTCAAGCCCACCAAGAGAGAAGCCCAAGTGTTGAAGTGAACCCATTCGGCCCAAGTCTCATTCCAAAAGGGAAAGCCCCCATGAACCCTATTGGATCCATTTGCAAGATCCTCAAGGCCTAAACTCTTACACCCTTATTAGTAGACTTGATTAGGATCATTGATCAAGCTTTGAGCTAATAAAGTGAGTTTTTTTAACTAATGGGGTGGTTAAAGATATGAATCCTAGAATTAGGGAATCATGTCCTTTTTGCATTAAATAGGTATGGTCTTGTTTTTTTTGAATGAATGGCTTGTAATTATTTGTGTAATATTTGTTATTTGTGTAATATTTGTGTAATATTTGTTAATTTTATTTCTTGTATTGTATTTGTGGATTACCTAGTTAGCCTTGTAATTGCCTATATAAAGGCAACTATTCTCCTTTGTAATACTTAGTTTTATGAAATATAAAAAATTTGGTTTAACCATTGAGAGAACTTTGTGTTCTTGTTGTGTTTTCTTTATCCAAGTCTTGGCAAGGAGATTTGGTGATGAATCAATTCAAGTTGGTGGAGAATTCCTTTATGCTTGAAGTGTTTTCTACTTGTCTTAACCCAAAATTGCAAGTAAGTGTGACATTGCTCCTCTAGTGTATTTGGCCGAATTTAAGCTTGAATTTAGGGCATTTTTTTTTTTGTGTTTTGTTGTTGCAAATTAGTTGGAATTGGATCATTTGGTATCAGAGCTTAGGTTGTGAAGTTGAGTAAGATTGATTTAGGGTTGATTGAATGTAGTTAGCTAGAATTTTGGAGTTGACATTGCCGGATTTGGAGTGCTCTAGCTTAAGTGTTCTTTCTCTTTTGTTGCAAGTGATTGAACATTTCTTTTTCTTTCATCAAACACTATTCCCCAACCAAATCCCTTACACTTTGTTCCTTTCTAACCAAATCCATTGCCACCTCACCCAAACCCTAATCAATTCCCTCCAAAGTCAACTAAACTCATTCTTTCCCAACCAAACCAACTTTAACCCTTAACCAAACCCTAAACACAATTAATTAACCTAATCCCATCTCCATTAACACCATTCCTTAGGCTAATTACAGAACACTATTCGCAAAATACTATTCTCAAAACACTATTCACAATACACTATTCACAAAATACTTTCACTTAAACCAAAATCACCAAAACTCATACACTTGACCTTTCGCTCCCATTTTTCATTTTCTTTAACATTCAAAAAGTTACTGTTCATCCGGAGTTACTGTTCACAGTAGCTAAATTTCCCCAATTCTCATGGCAAACAAGTCCATTTCTTCCCTAATTCCACCCCCAACACCATGGGAGAGTGCCAACAAAAAAATTCAAGAAGAATTTGATGAAGTAAAAAGAAATATGTTTAGCATGATGGAATTGATGGTTAACATGTCTAAGGACATTGCCAACCTTTCACAACCTAAACCCACCTTTGAGGAAACCCTACAACCACCTCCACGGGATGGTCATCCACACTACCACTAGCGAACCATCCTTAGGACACCATTGTATATGAAAAATCTAGGAGATAGTAATGATTCATTTAGTGAATCCGAAGTGCCTAGGAGGAGAAGGTTTGATGATGATAGGGGTCTTAAAGTAGACTTACCCGAATTCAATGGAAGTATTGACCCAAATGACTTCATTGATTGGTTGCATGAGATTGAACGGGTATTTGAATTTAAGGGCTACAATGATGAAAAGAGATGTAAAGTAGCCATATTAAAGTTCAAGAAGTATACTTCCTTGTGGTGGGAAAATAAAAGAAATAAGAGAGAAAGAGAAGGGAAGACTAGAATTAGGTTATGGGATAAATTGAAGAGAGTGTTGAAGAAAAGGTTCTTGCCCGATAATCACAAGCAAGACCTTTATCTTAAGCTCCATAATTTGAAGCAAGGAGATAGAAAAGTTGAAGAGTATATTCGAGAGTTTGAAGGGTTGATGTTGAGAAGTGATATTCCCGAAGAGAAAGAGCATACAATTGCAAGGTTCATTGGCGGTTTGAGTAAGGACATTGCATACAAGCTTGAGTTGCAAACTTACCATTCCTTTGGGGATGTTTGCAAGCTGTCTACAAGGATTGAAAAGCAATTGAAGAGCATGAAGTCCTTGGCCCCCAAGAAACTCTTTAAGGAAAGTAACTACCAAAGGGGTTCACCTTCCTACACCAAACCATATGTGGCACCTACGGCTTATGATAAGAACAAAGCCAATGAAACACCAAAGGAGAAAACAGGTTTTGTGAGGAATGATGCTCCACGGCCTGATTTGAGGAACAAGAAATGTTTCAAGTGTCAAGGTTATGGGCACTTCCAAGCAAATTGTCCAAACCGAAGAGTTATGACCCTTAGAGAAATAAATGAGATTGATGATGCTTGTCAAAGGGATTCTAGTGAAGAAGAGGAAGTAGATGAGAGTGAGAATGAGGTTATTGAGGAAGCTGATAGTGGAGAGATGCTTATGCTC